GTGGGCAGCACTGATTGTACTGTACCAAGTAGCATTATCTTCCCCAGGCCTTCAGCGGCAGCTTTGGACCAAATCCTCAGTATTGTACTGCTCTTCCATGAAATACCTAAAAATATCAAAAGTGAAATTACTGCTAACAAATAGCAAGAGTAGAATATTTATAAATATACTGGCAGATTGAATAAATATCTCTTATCTCCAAGTTTTGTGTTGTTGTCAGTAATGACTAGAAAACATGCAGGAGAAGTATATAAATTTATCATACCAGGGCATATATAGTTATGATATATGAAGCATGGAAATAGACTTGAATATCTCTGAAATTGCCTTTATGAGTTATTATTTTGATGTGTCTGTCAGAGCTGCGGGGAGACTAACATAGGCTAAGCATGGATAGAAACAGCTGATGATTTAGGGATTGGTGATAATTTGGTTTCAAAGTATGCTCTGAGGTTTTTCTCAGGTCTGGGGCAAATATGCCTGACAGGATTGGGACTTAAGTAATCAGAGATTTTCTATGGAGAAGATGAAAACAGATTTTGTTTGTATCAGGGCAATTGCTGCAGGGACCGCTTTGTTTAATCTGAGCTTGTATGGATTTGGGAGAATACAGTTGCTTAGCATTACAGCTGGATGGATGCCTTCTATCTCCCTACCATCACTTGGGGAAAATGCCATTTAAGAAATGCTTTGGTTTCACTCCACTGCTTTGGGCTTCACAAGAAAAAATATGGCCAAGGAGCAAAGGGTTGCAGGTGGTAAATCTGTTTGCATCACCTAGAAGTACTCGTTTAAGTCCAAGTCTGAGGCAGAGAAGGGGACTAGCAAGCATGGCTGTGGACACACAAAGGATTTTAGTGTCCAAGACACCCAACCCTGCACTTTTCATAACTGCCAAAGTTCAGCAAGTTTGCATCTTTTGGTATAGTGTACCAGATCACGTGAGCTGGGGTGGGAGAACCCCGTGCTCCCAGCACGCAGCCCTGCTCTCAGCGCTGCTCCAGACAGCAGCCTCTTGGGATGGCCTCTCTGTGTCAAAACTTTCCAGATTGCCTGTATTTTTATTATATTAGCATTGCTGATAAAAGCAAAGGCTTTTATCTTTTAGGGTTCAACCTGAAGTTAAGTTCTGAAGTTGAGATCTCAGCTTTTCTGCTGGTCAGGGGCATTCTCACCCTGATTTTTTTCACTCTGCTTTTTAGTTAAAATGTGCTAGAGCCACGTGTAAGTGCCCACATAGAAAGTGTATTATGTGGGACATGCTTCCATAGCCCCCAGCAGTATCATGCAAGTAGCCCTGTGCACCATTGACTCCTAAACCTGGATAGTGCTGGCTTTGCTTCACATTGAAATGAAAGTGTGTAATGAGTGTATGTGGCTTCATAATCCGTCCTTTGGAGGGCAAATAGGTCAAGCTCAATAGTGGTTAAATCATAATAAATTCCATCCACTCGAGCATGCAGATCCCACTTAAAACTCTACAGAGCGAGGCGAGCACCTCATTGTCTGTGCTTTAGCCTCTGGCCAGAGCAGCATTCACACTGCAATATTATTTACAGATAATTATAGCGTGTATCTTTTCAGAACACAGTTTCCATAAGCAAAGAAATTGCAGGAATTATATTATTCGTCAGATGCAAACAGGCCATTTTCTTTTCTTTCCAAATGTTCTAGTTGGAAAATTATCCTGCACCTCTGCCTGAGTTCAGTAATACTGCTGGAGGGGGTTAGCTTGTTTTGTTTGATTAGGGTTTCATTTACTCAGCATATACAGCTTATGACCCAGGTTGCCATTTGGTAAATATTGGAGTGATGAAATTCACTTTGTGGATGTACTTAGATCTCTTTGTAGCAAACAGGGAATTGACCTTGTATCTCTTTGAGCAAACAAAAAATTTTGCCTGAGGGGGAAAGCTCCTCTGTGGTGGTCTGACTGACGCTAGCCACATACTGTTGAATTCTTCAAAGAAGCAACTCATTTTCTTCTGCTCTCCAGATCTTAATTAACACCTCATCTACATCTACTGTTCATTGCACAGAAGATGTGATGAGCCTGATGGAGGGGACCTGTGTTTTGCATGTGGCTCAAGACACCTTTGGTAGACAGCCATAAAAGTGCTCTCTACTTACAGTACAGGGGAAAAAAGTAAATCCTGGAGGACCAACCTGATGCCTCTTTGAAGCTTGTTATGTCTGGGTTTCCCTCTGCAGCTTCACAAGCAGGCAAGCTCCTTCTCTTGACTATTTGCTTCTCCCTCCTTGCCATCCTCGGAGCTGGTTTGAATGCATAGGGCACAATGCTGAACCAAATCAGTGAGCTTTTCTGGGCTAAAAATACCCTCTGACCAATTATTTATTTATTGTACCGCATTATTTGTAGCTTGGATCAGCTGTTTGGCATGGTTCACCGAGTGGTCCCGCGGGAGAGGGAGAAGCACAAAAGTAGCCATGCCCTCTGCCTGCTGCATCAGCCTTGACCTAATGAGCAATGAAAAAGTCTGTGTTTCTCAAGACGTCTGACCCAGGTTCAGAGCTCCAACACTTGTCTGATCCCAAGAGAGGCACATTCAGATGAGTGCAGTTTGTCTTATGTGTTTTTTTCAGTGAGCTGTTGTACAGGGAGCTGTTGCACAGCCTGACCGGTGCCAAACTGCTTAAGGTCGATCAGGGGCACGGGTGGCCAGAAGATGCCACCAGACAAGGCTCCTCCTTCCACCTCTCCTTCAGCTCAGACATAGCATAAACACTGCATCTTTTGCATCAGGCCTGTCTTGGGTATCAGGGCAGATCTTCGCTGTTAGCCTGAGAGGTGCAGTAAGAGCCCCAGGTCATTTGTGGGCCCTGAAGACCATAGCAGGCTGACTTACAGACTTACATGTCTTTATTTCTGTGAGAAGTCTAAACTGCATCTGCTCTTGCATTGTGTTTGAGTGCTTTCAAAAATCACACTGTTTTAAAGATCAGATATGCAATGCCTAAACTGAGCATCCAAGTTGAGGTTTTTAATTGTCCGAGAATCTCTCGTTACTGGCTTTTTTCCTTGGTAATAGGATAACATTATTTAAAATTCAAGACGACCTCTGGGACAACTCTTTTACTCTTCCAGTCAGTTCAAAGCTTCTTCACTTCTGTCCCCAATGCCACCACACTTTCCAGAGCAGACTAGAGTATGACAGGACTTCTAACTTTCTGCCTTCAAAATGTGACCGCTCCACAAAAAAAACCCCAAACAAAACAAAAACAAACAAAAAACCCCTTTCTGTGGCTCTAGCTCATAATTTGTGGTCCTTGTACTTGAAGCAGAAGGCAAGTACGGGTTTTAAGCAGGAACACATTGGAACAGTTAAGTTTGAAAATGGAACAGAAAATCCAGCTAAGATGTCTAAAACAAATGTAAAGAAATTCAGAAATCCAAAGCAAATGTCTTTTTCTGCACTTGAGGCTTGTGAAGTAAAAAGCAGCTTAGGTGGTGTACTCACAACCCCTGTTATACTGTCCCCATTTACTAGCAGTTTGATCCCAAACACTATAATGTTTATCTAGATGTATCATGAGAAATAACTGAGGAATGTGAGTGAATAGCCTTGCTTTAAGCCTTGTCCAAGAGTATTCAATCTGTTGTCACTGTAACTCCGTAATGCTGGCTGTACTGAGAAGTAGCACGTGTTCAGTGAATGGTATAGACGACTGGTAAGTGGTGCTTTTATCACTGCTTATTAAGTTATTTTTCCTACTAATAAAACATCAGCTGTTCAGTAAATCTTCAACAGGTGTCGTCTTATGTTGCTAGCACCAAAACTTATTTTCAGCTTTGTCGAGAGTCATTGTTATTTGCTCTGCAGCACCCCACACAGTGGTGTTCCAGCTTGTGATTGGTGCCTCTAGGAATTATGACTCGACAAAAGTATCTTTTCATGTATTATTTTCTCCAAGTTAAAAGGATGCAATTCTTTCAGTGTGCTACGGAAAGCTGTGCAGTCAGGCTAGGGTTGCATTGTAACAGTGATGAGACAAAAGCCTCCTTTTGCTCCCACTGAACAGCAAGGCTGGGCTGAAGCTTTCCACCTGGAAGGGGTTGTGAAGTATTTTACCACATTGCCTTGTGGATTGTTCTGATTTCTTCGATATTAGGATAGCTCAGAGATGTTTTCATTTTAGCTATGAAAGGATAGGCCAGGGAGAAACTATTTGAGTACAGTTTTGGGGTGTTATGTGTTGTATTATTTCTTCAGAGCAATTTGCATTTTGGTCTTCCGTCGCAATCAAATATTGTGGTGATAACTTTTGTCAATTCTTCTAGATTTAATAAAACAGAGTAATATAATTTCAGGTGGGGACTAATTTTTCCATCTCGCTCTTATAAATGTTTGGAATCTCAGTGGACACCTCTTCCTTCCCCATCAGCAAAGTAGACAAAGGGATATTTGTGTGCCAAAGCAGAATATGCCAGGAAATCTCCTGAATCTTATCATACTCCCAAAGTGTCGGACTTGCAAGAGATATGTAATTCCTGGAGGTTCAGTTTGCTCTTAAAACCTGGATTTGTAGCTTGAGGGATCCTGTAGGAAGCCCCCACTTGCTCCCACTGAGCTTAGAGGGAGACCCAACTCCCTCTGAAGTAATGGGTCCTCAGGGAAGTGGCCTTTGGGGATTCCTTCTATTTTCAGTAATGATTGATGGTACTCTATGACTGTCCTCTCCTCAGGAACTGAGTTATGTTTGTGATACAGGAAAACTTAGTGCTACTTATGTACAAAAGCCTTGTTTTGGAGCTTTTTATGTAACAGAAAGTGACGGAGGATTATTCCAGCTCTAAATTCTGATGCATCTCTGTCCCTGGGAAACACTGCATGCTTCCTACACTATTGCCATCAGACAGATAACGTTCTTGTTTCTTATGAAACTGATGCTTAACTTACTGTGGTGCTTGTAAAGATAAGTAGGCAACAAGTCTTTATATTCTCCCTTTCCTTCATGGAGCTTTCTTCTTTCCCCCACAGTTTGTCAAGGGACAAATAACAAGCTGACCCAACTGGGACATGTGGAAGACCATTTCACCAGCCTGCAGAGGATGTATAACAATTGTGAGGTGGTGCTCAGCAACCTGGAGATTACATACGTGGAGCACAATCGTGACCTCTCTTTCCTGAAGGTTAGTGTTCGTGGCCCATGTGGTCTTCTCTGCTAAAGGAATCTTACTCCATTTTTTGAGGAAAACGCAGAGGATCAGCTACTGATAAAATTCTGTGGTGATCCAAAAAACATAGCTAGCTAATGCCAGAGAAATTGCAGCTCACAGTCTAAACACACCTGTAGGCTGCAGAATATGCTCAACTCTACTATACAAATCAGGCACTTTGACAAATAGCTTTTCAAACATTTGCTAACCTGTAATGGGTGCCAAGCAGGTGGGTTTCTTCTTATTTGTCGTTCCAATTGCATCCTTACCCATTGCCTTACTTCTCAGAGAGCAAAAGACTTTGTGGCGCTGTTGGGCAAAGCAAAGCACAAAGTGAGTGGCGACCCACTGATGGCAGATTTTGAAGTGTGGAGGCCTTTCCCATTCTCTTCTTCAAACTGTGGCCCCTTCCCCTGCCGTTGTGGTGAGTCCCTCTGTAGCCTGCAGTGCTCACACCCCGAGCAGGCAGGCAAGTCCTGTGCAATAACTTCCCACGTGGATTCTTCAAACGATCTTCAAGACGATCCTCCGCAGTTGACACACGGGCTACTCCCATCTCAACATTTGTTTTGTGCACAAGTCCCTGAGTAACTATGGCAAGCTGAGGGAGGGGAGGAAAGGACAGGGAATGGATGCTAAAACTCAGCTGCAGCATGGGGAGGAGGGAGCACTGTCTCACTTGGGGGCCTCTACATTCTCCACCAGCAAGTAACAAGCAAGATCAGAAAATGTATAGTTCAGACACATGGGTTATAAATATGATGGTATTCTTCTCTCTGAAGCACAACCTGACTATGGAGCTCAGTGTTCCCAGGAACATAACAGGTCTCTTGAAAATTCACTGGTAGTCTTCACAGAACAGGAAAATATCCTAAGTGGTAGCCTGAGGGTTTTTCATTTATGGTCATTTTTGTAGGAGATAGAAATGCACACATTTCGCAGTGCAAAGCAGGAAATGACCTACATGCAGGAACAGTACCTCACTTGTATTTTTGTTGTGTAAATATATGTTACTTAAAAAGGAGAAGCTTTCCTGATCTTCCCCTCTTATGAGCAGTGGAAGATCTGCAAGGAAAGGGGCACGGAAAAGAGAATGTAAAAGCCTGAATCAGATGGCATCTCTGTGCTGCTAGTGGTTGGAGGCTAGGCAGTTATTTAAGGGAAACATCACACTGAGTTGCCATATCATACATGCTTACCCTGTTTGCCTGCATCCCCTAGTTAGCCCCACTTACCCAGAGCAGGGGTAAGCTGGACCTTTTCAGTGACACCGTGGTAGCTGCTCGAAAGATGAGTTTATACCTGCTTAACTGGCAAAGTTTTCCTCGTAGTCCGTTTTTGTTCTCAGATTTACGTATTTCAATGAGATTAAATGGTTTATCGCTCCTTAAAATTGAAAGATGGTGGATTGGACGGGTGGGAGGTAGAAAACGATTATTGAGGAGTCCTATGGATTAAGCACCGTGTTTTCTTCTGTTCTTCTCTCAGTCGATACAGGAGGTCGCCGGCTACGTACTCATCGCACTTAACATGGTGGACGTCATTCCCCTAGAAAACCTCCAGATCATCCGAGGCAATGTGCTGTATGACAACTCTTATGCCCTGGCAGTTTTATCCAATTACCACATGAATAAAACCCAGGGACTCCGGCAGCTGCCAATGAAGCGGCTATCAGGTGAGAGGAAAGCAAGAGGTGGAGGCACCTCTAAAGCAAACTTCAGCTGTTGTCTTACTGGTCTCAAGATCTAATTGGAGATTGCCTCTCAAATGCCATCAACTCCTGCTTTAAAAACAAGGATCTGAATATAGTTTCCTAATTGCCTTCCTGCTACCCAGTCTTCTTTAAAAGGCGAAGAAAGTTCATAATTTCCCATTGCAGAAAGATGACAGAAAATCCAAAACATCAACAAGATGGTGAGATTCATTTCTGTCCCCCAAACTGGCAAAGAAGTATCCATTTGTTATTTTGCATTATTTGATTACAGTGCATACACATCAGTATTTTCTGTTAAGTCCCTGTGGGAACTGGTGATCTGTGCGTTAGAGTCTCACACAGTCTCTGTCTATGCACACCAGCAGTGCCATCTCTGCTGAGTGCTATGGCCCCTAGAGGTGGCACCAGGCAGAAAGCCACGTGTACTGACATCTTTATGGCATCCAAGAGCAGCTGACTCTCCAGAACCTGTCAGTCTGAGCCTGGTGTTAGTTATATAAATTGTCCTTTTCTGTCAGCATGAGGTGGAGAAATATGTGCTTTATTTCTCTTTCTTTAGATCAGAGACAGAAGTCTTAGGGAATTGCTTCGCTTACAAATTCTCTTTCTGTAACAGAAATTCTCAATGGAGGTGTTAAAATCAGCAACAACCCCAAACTCTGCAACATGGACACTGTTCTCTGGAATGACATCATTGACACGAGCAAGAAGCCTCTCACAGTGCTTGAGTTTGCAAGCAACTTGTCTTCTTGTGAGTATTAACTTACCAAAAATGCTATGTGCTCTCCCCCTCCACTTCAGACAGTATAATAAACATACCATCTTTCACGCAGTAGGTTTGTGGTCCAACAGTTTTTCACACGAGGGCTACCAAGCCCAGTTCCAAGGGAAGTGCTTTCATTTCTGCACCACTGGCCTAAGATAGAATTTTTCATTAACTCAGAGCTCAGGTCCTTAACTCAGAGCTCAGCAAAGTTCTTGGTTTAAGGCAGTACTCTACATATGTGTTAATCAAACACATCTAAGGAAAACGTGCACTCCTTTGCTTTCCAGGAATCTACGGTTTACAATGTAAGGTTTGGGTCTAGAAAGTCCATGTGGGTACCTTCGTGGAGTTGCTTGAAGCTTTTTTAGAGCTAAGGCCCATACTGAGTGCTGTAAAACCCAACTGCTTTGGGCTGGACAGACTGCCCTTGCAAAAATAATGATAAACAGGCAGATAAATCTGATGCTTCAGATCAGCAGGGAGACGGGGGGATATTTGAAAGTTTGTATAGCATATGGTTAGAGTAGGCTTAAGCTAATCCTTCAGCCTTAGGAGTCCCTTGTAAAATCCCCAGTCACTTCAAGGAAAGTTTATTTTCGTTTCTGAGCATTTAATTTCTGGCACTATAAATTGACGGGAAAACATATTTTCTTTATCTTCTTCCAGTTGCATAATTGCCTGAGCTAATAGCCAACTTCTGTGTTGACTTATTTTTGTGCAGAGCCCTAGCGTAATCAAGCAGTTGCGAACTATATATGTCAGCACAGAAGTTTGGCTCTGACCACCCCAGGAATGTTAATCTTTAACTTTTCAACTTAAAAAAGAAAAGGAGTTCTTTGGTCCCACACCAAATCAATCAGCTCTTGGACAAGTATTGGCATCCGTTCAGCTATTTGATGGGTGACAGAGGGAGGGAGAATCACATGATGTTAACAGGAAGGAACACTTTAGTAGGAAATGCCTTTTAAATGTAGTGAATTCCCTATTAATCTGCTTAAACAGCCATTTATGGCTTTAATAACGATCCCATAACCTAAAATAAGTAGTTTCTCTCGGAATCTGCTTGTCATTAAGAGAAAGAAAAAGAAAGAAGAGAGCAAGGAGGGAGGGATGGGAAAGAACCAGCACTGAACCACTGAGGTCAGGCAGGGTGTCCATCCACCCTATCACCTCTCCATTAATTGTCCATCTGCAGTGCAGTCCTCCACCGAGGAGTATTCTTGGCAGAGGATGGGAGGAGGGTGTGAAACAGACGAGTCAAATTACTTTGTGGTCGGAGTAGCTGGCGGTTACCTGTGAATCCAGTTGGATTCGTTTACTTTTTAGAACTGCATTGCTCAGAAACGCTGATTTACATGTGGCCTGTAGTGAGCAGCTGGCACATGCCCGGCTGCAAGCCAGTGGTGACTTGCCATTGCACGCAAACCCCACCAGCAGAAGGGCCAGCCGGGCAGTAGCTGAGATTCCTGTTCCTGGGAAAAGTGAACGTCTTTCGTAAGCTAGACTGGCTGGGTGTTGTGCTCGCTTGTTCAAAGGTGTGGGGGTGGAGAACTGCACGTAGGAAAGCGGAGTTGAACAAAGGGATAAGGATTAAAGTTCACCATTTTTTTGAGCATCGTTACATAGGTGCTTCCTACACTGGTTTATTGAGAACCAAATCTCAAGTCATGGTTTTCCGGGGTTCATGGTATGTTGTTGTTTTCTGTGGTTACAAAATACTATGCTCTGTCTCATGTTTTAGGTCCCAAATGCCACATGAACTGCACAGAGGACCACTGCTGGGGCCCTGGTGAACAGAACTGCCAAAAATGTAAGATTAATTAAGAAATAGCTTGTATACTCTAACATACTAAATTTCTATCTACTGAAAAATTAACCTGTCAAGCGCAAATTAGTAACATGTGTATCACACTTGTCCTTCTCTGCATCCTGCCATGCTGGGACTTCTTGAAGCACACCATGCATGGACATGGTCTGCACAAGGGTAGTCATAGGGAAGGACAACCATGCCTAGTCCCTACAAGCAGTTCCCTTTCTGGATGGGAAACCTCAAGGTGGTTTGCCTTGGGTTTGGGTTTCCCTGCAGATGTGCTGTTCTTCCAGAAGCAAAATTCTGCAGGTGTCTCCTGCACTGAAAACTTTTGTCTGTCGCCCACAGCTCTCTCCCATCCTCGCTTCAGAGCATATATTCTTTCGGTTATTTTGCCATGTAACAGGGAACACAGTAACTGCATGGTGAATTGTTTGCCTTCCTGCTGTTTCCTGCAGAGTCATTCTGCAGGCCAATTAATGATATTAATACTTGGGATTATTTTCTACTCTTAGAAGTAACAGTGTAACCCAATTTTTGCTGCTTTTAATTTCTCTTTTTGCAATCCCCGTAGGTTTTTTTTTGTCAACACAAATTATGTCATCTTCATGTGGATTTAATCGCACTACATACTGTACTCAGAGGACCTTTGAAAGGCTCTCTGTAGCCATTTTTAATTATATAAATAGGAATGTTTGGCTGCCTGTGTTTTACTGTAAAATTGTGCAGGTAGGATGTTTGCCTGATATCAAGAGAGCAACAGAAACATCTTTACAAGGTTTTATTTTTCCTAAAGTAAAGGTTGAGGAGGAAGACCATACTTCATTATTTCTTTCTTCTCTAAAAAGTGGGGAAATAACCTATTTCTAAATCTTTGTTTTGTGAAATGTTCAGTGAAAAAAGCGCTGATCTAGGCATGATGCAAATGGAAGCAATATCCTATCTTCAGTTTTCTGTTGCAAATAATCACCTAACCCTAAGTTTCTTCTCTGCAAATATCAAGCCAAATCTATACAACTTGGAGCTTGAGCAAATCTTTTCTGTCATCATTTAGCAAAAGCTTTAGTGTTTTTTCAGACAGCTCTGCAGCTTGGCTCTCAAGGTGGACAGTGACTGAATACTCAGAGGCCTTCCCGGGTTGGTCCCCGCAGCTGGTTCTGCACAGCTGTCTCAGGGCCTTGCAAAACCTCAGGTCTCTCAACCCGTCAGGCTTTTAGCATTTACAAACTCTCGCTGATTCGGGAGGTTGATGAGTGCATAAAATGAAACCTTTTGCAGGCTCTTGCTCACCTCTCCAGGCATTTGAGAACGTGGCCAACTGAAAATATTTCCCACATTTCCATATGTGGGAAAGTTTTTTTGTCCTGAAAATGAACGTGGGATATTCTGTACGATGTAAAAACGTCTGCTGTGATATATATTTCCAGCAGGAAGCTCTAGTCAATAGCTATCAAAGTGATGAGGTGCTTTATTCCCCTGCTAATGCTTATGAAAAAAAATTATATCAGAACACTGTTCATGTAGAACCATGTGCCTCTTATTCCCCTGTTTCTAGTGGAATGAAGGAGTTGCTATCAGAGAAGCTAATGCATGTTGTAGAAATAATCTGTTTCCTTGATATACTTGAAAGTATATTATCTTGCTTACAGGCCTGCAAGATTAATGAAATAATACAGTTTGGATACAAAAGTGTGTAACGGAAAAAGATAGAATGTATGATTTTTAAAAATCACTGTTATATACCCTGTAGCAGGCTACTTATTGCAATAATTTTTTGTCAATTAACAACCTTCTATTTCATACCTTCAGGAATTCATGGTGGTCTTGTAACCCATTTGTGCCAACTGCAAAGTTGATACCAGTTAGTGTAGAGCACAGCTGAAAGGCTCAGGGTGCTTTAATGAAGCAGAGTAGCCATCAGGTTTCTCTGATGTCTAATGCCAGGCTCTGTGGAAAAGTAATTTTTTTTTTTTCTAGAGAACAAGCAATCCCTTTTCTGGTTTGTGGTAGTTTCAGTTTTTTGGTTTTTTGGGTTTTTTTTTAATTGTTCTGATTATCCTTTTTGCTGCTTTGCTATTCAAATGGAGACACTTTCCCAATTCTCAGCAAAATGTTGCAGGCAGTTTTTGCTTCCCTGAAAAAAGCTGAACCAGGGCCAGTTCTTCCTCTGGGTGGTTGCAGTGGTGCAAACCCTGTGGGAATTGTGTAATGAAGATAAAATTTGGCCAAGGAATTGAAGCCTAAAGAAAAATAATTCAATGCGCATATGAAATCTGTTTGTTGAGTGAGTCTCCCCTCTCTGCAAATTTCAGAATATTTTTAGTGCGTTGAAGGGATCCTGACACCACACCAACAATGTATGGTTTCCCTTTTTAGTATGAAACCCTGGCAGTTCTGCCACATTGTTTTTCCCAAAGCTAGCAAAAATAATAGCAACTTTTTTCAGTGAAATGGAGGCAGATCCTGCTCTGTTTCCCAGATGTAGGATGCAATGACACCACAGAGTTTTTCTTGATCTGGGCATTGATGTGACAGGGACCCAGTTGCTCTTTCTAAGCAAGGCATATTTCCTGGTTGGGATCAGCGTTCTTAGCACCTCGCAACAGCCAAGATAATTACAGGCTGAGCACAATTCCTGCTCACTACCACCCACACCAGCTCTCACCCCTCCCAAACTTTAGCCTTATGTGAGGACAGAATGTGCATCCCATGAGGAAAAACTAGCACAGATCCTGCACCAGACCATTTCTCCATATTTCTTGATCTCAGTGCAGCAAGTACAGCTGATGTTTCTCATTTTTTTCTTGTATCTTCCAGTAACAAAAGTCATCTGTGCCCAGCAGTGCTCTGGCCGCTGCAGGGGGAAGGTGCCCAGCGACTGCTGCCACAACCAGTGCGCTGCGGGATGCACGGGGCCTCGGGAGAGTGACTGCCTGGTAATGATGCCACACCACCACCATAACTGCTTAAATCCCTGATACAGCGAGGCAGGCATTCAGCTGCAGGTCCTCCAGCCTTCTTCAACCCAAGACGCCCTCTGAGAGATGCTGTCCTGGAGGATGCTCCAAGACTTCCCTTTGTGGGTGGTTGGTGGGAGGGAAGATGAGATGAACTTCACAGCAGCCTTAGCTGGTCTTTACTGACTCTGTCAGTGAACCTTACTAGTGCATTCTAGACCAGCTTTAGTGCCTTTGAGTGCCCAGTGACTACAAAGTTGTTGTAGAGCATCTAAGTGTTTGCTGTAGGGTGGCTTCCCCACATGGGCAGATCCTCAGGTCCACAGTAGCCCCTGTGCTACAGCAATTTTGCAGGCCAGCACAAATTTGCCCTGTGCTCCTTAGCACTAGTCAGTAATAATCTTGATTTACTAAAGCAAGAACTTCTAAGGGGAATAAGATATGGTGGATCTTCATCTTTCTGCATTTCATTGAACTTCAGACATGAAATCAAGGTTTCCCTTTCTGGTTTTCACTTGACACATAAGCGCTGTTTTTGGGGAACCTTGGGACGGAGAAAAAGCACACAAAGCTTCTTTAGGGGGAAAAAAAGGTCCCTTGACTTCTCTCCAAGAGTTTCAGGGGGTCAGTGTATGCTGTGCTTTAAATCTTCCCCGTATTCACACTACACTTCATCTGAGTAATTGCCATAGAAACCATAAAGTTATCTTTATTCCTGGTGCCCTTTTAAGCTGCATGGCTGTAATGCCCTTACTGGCTCACAAGGCAGACAGTTATTCTCTGTCATCTAGAAAGCCAGTGGAGAAGAAAGGGAAAAGGAGAGTGATTATTAATTTAATGCAGACTTAGATTGGAAGAACCAACTTGCCCTTCATAAATGCCTGCTAAATTGTTCATTACCTACAGCCAAATATAATGGTTTCGGTTTAATATTTAGCCAGAAAAGTCAGTAATCGGCAGGAAAGGACTTGATTTGATGTAGGTTATTAAAAAGTGGCCAAGAAAAGTACCGTTTGTCTTGATCCAGTTGCTGCCTGTAGGGAAATTTTTTCTGTCTAAGGCATGCAAATTTACTCCTGTTCCCACGTGAATCCCAGCAGCTTTGCACCGGAGTGCCAAGATTTCTTATTAAGAAAAAGAAAAGTTCATGGTTTCTATTTTTAAAAAAATATCAAACTCAATTGCCCAGCGTGAAGGAACCTTTCACCTTCAAAGCCTGAGGGACCATCCCTGTAGCTGCCTGGGACTTCCAATAGGGCTAAGCAGGAAACAGATGAGAGTGTTTTAAAGGCCTGATATACAAGCATTATCACTTTTTAAGGAGAAGGTGGTTTAATGGGTGCTGTTGTTCAATGCCAGGCATGCCGCAAGTTTCGGGATGATGCTACATGCAAGGATACGTGTCCCCCGTTAGTCCTGTATAACCCCACCACCTACCAGATGGATGTCAACCCTGATGGAAAATACAGCTTTGGAGCCACTTGCGTGAAGGAATGTCCACGTAAGTTCATTTCAGATTGCACCCGCAGAGGAGGTGGGGGTTGGAGAGAGGTGGGAAGGGACCTGTCATCCCTCTGTGTTGTGGACAAGTGAAACACCATTTGTTCTCTTCAGTTCCTGTGAGAACTGGGAACAGGTGACAAAGTGAGCCTCTTCAAACTTCATCCATCACCTTCCCTGATTTTTTGTCATTACATTTTGACTTCTGAAAGTTTTCCTCTTGGTGGAGGGAAAGGCATCATATAAAAAATCATCAAAACAATGGCTATATGAAATCAAAAAATTATCAGCTCTTAACTGGTTCTTAATTAGGACTGGTAGAAAGTAGTTGATTTTAGTGCTCCTCCTCAATCTGTGTGATTGTTTTATCTACAGATGCTTGCTTTTCCTTTCTTGCTGTTCCATGTATGTATTTTTTTTAACCCATCAAGACTTGAATGTTGTTTTATCCTTCTGTGGCCATGTCCCTCTCTGTAAAATGGTGATGGCACTGTATGTTCATCTACCTTCAAATGACGTTTGTGAGTATTCATAGTTAGTGCCTGTACTTTTCTGAGTGTGACAAAAGTATTACACCAGTACTGAAGTGTTTGTCCAGCTCCCAATGCATCCCTCTTGTCTTTCAGTGACTTTTGTATCCTTTTTTTTTCCCAGACAACTACGTGGTGACAGACCATGGCTCCTGTGTTCGCTCGTGCAATGCTGATACTTACGAAGTGGAAGAAAATGGTGTTCGGAAGTGTAAAAAGTGTGATGGGCTGTGCAGCAAAGGTATAAAAGCATGGAATAAACCAGTGAGGCTTTGAGAGGATAGGTAATTCATTAGAAAAAGTGCAGGGAGTTCTGATCTTAATTAAGCGCAAATTCAATATCGGTAAGATCCGCTGATTGTTCGGAAATCTGACAAGTGGTTTGATCAGGAAACATGACTGTGGGGCATGCTCTCCAGCTGGGATACGCCACAAGTACAGGGTGCTTGTAGATAAACCGTGTGCTTCTGCAAGTGTATCTTGCACATCAGCCTTATCCTTCATTTGTCCTTCCCAGTACCTCGTTAAGGGGAATAAAATTAAATTGGGACAAAGAGAGAAAGAGGAGCATGTGCCATACAAAGCCTGTGTGCAGAGAAGCTCAGACCAGAGCTGCACAGCTGGGCAAGCAGGAAGCAGTTATCTTGTGGCACTTTCTGAAAAGCAAAAATAGACAAAAGGTCTGTGAAACTCAGAGTTGGAGTGCTTTTTCATGGCACCTCTGTGTTTCTCCCCTTCCATGTAACTGGGCTTCACCCTTCTCCCCTTCTCATTTTGTATCTTTCCTTTAACAGTGTGCAATGGCATTGGAATAGGTGAACTTAAAGGGATCCTCTCCATAAATGCCACAAACATTGACTCCTTCAAAAACTGTACCAAGATCAATGGGGATGTCAGCATTCTCCCAGTTGCTTTTCTGGGGTGAGTTACCTGCTGATCACTAAGCACTGAAAGAAGGGCTGGGGAGAAAGAAGGGCTGGGGAGGCTGAACTGTTCTTTTCCCAATTCTTCATTCTGTTTGTTTCAGCGATGCCTTCACAAAGACTCTACCCTTGGACCCCAAGAAGCTGGATGTCTTCAAAACAGTCAAAGAAATATCAGGTTAGCAATGAGTTTTCAGCTGAGATGTTCTCTCTGACTGATATTGCCAAAATACAGAGGGAGAGAAGGGAAATTTTTTAAGCATATGAAGAGAAGAGCAAGCAAAGAGTTTCTGTCTCTGAGCTACCAAGGGTCACTCTTCACCAAGGTGGTCAGCAGTGCCTTGCCAGCATTACGCCCACATAACCCATACTGGTCTCCCATCCAAGGTGTGTGGTTTGGCCAGAACACCCCTTCTGCTGAACTGTCAGCCCTAGAGAAGAGTAAGAGCAGAGGAGATCCTCAGCCACCCAAGAAGCATGTGGTGATGCGGAGGCGTACCACTCCAGCTAAGAAAAGCCAAGCGTGTTTCTATTTGTGGAAAACCTTTCAGCAGCTCCTTAGGGAAGCGTGCTCAGTGGCTTGCGTCATCCTTACGGAGACACCCTCTCCAGCCTGAAGAGCTCTCCCTTGGGGTGACTGTATCGCCATGAGCACAAAGCAGCCAGCAGAGTGCTCAGCTCAGCTGCTGTCTCACACCAAGTATCAATTAAAAGTAATTTTTTTCCAGCCCATTACAAAATGAATGTAACATCGGAGCTGGATCCGCAGACCAGACTCCAGTTCCCTTTTTTTTTTTCTCTCTTACCTGTCTAGTTCCCTTCAGGGTGGCAATGACTAACTGCAGAGCGTCATACAGCAACCTGCAATTTTCCAGATTCTCCCTGTCCTCCCAAACAGCTCAGCTGAGCAGGGAATTCTGCTTGCTTCAGCAAATCCGCTCCAAGTAGCTGTCTGTTCTCCTCTGTTCTTGCTTTTCAGTTTTCCTCTCCGCTAAGGTCTGCTCACAAATGGGACGGAGTGATACTTTTCTACCACAGGATCAGAGCCTGCAGCCTCTCAGAGCCATCATCACTGGTGACTCGGTGTGGCAGGATGTGCGGCCCACTGACATCCTCGTCTGTTATGCTCTTAAGCCCTCGTGGTGGGCTAAGAAGTAAACTGTTTATAAAACAAGGTTTAAAAATATCTCCCTGCTCCCTAGAATGTCATGTTTCAGTTTGAGATTCTCAGATAAGCATAGGGAAAGCACCAGCGCCTTCTCCTGGCGCAGGATTTGGTCAAGGAGGAGGTTCTGCTGCCAGTACAGGTTTAATTTCATTATTATTATTTTTTAATCTTCTTTTCTTTATTTCAGGATTTCTGTTGATTCAAGCCTGGCCCGAGAATGCTACTGATCTCTATGCTTTTGAAAATCTGGAGATTATACGAGGCAGAACAAAGCAACAGTAAGTAAATCATGTGCCAAAGTGACTGTAAGAGGAACACTATTTAGAGCTGCTCTTGTCTGAGCACACCAAGATTGCAAGCAATGTGAGACTCAGATGTCCAAAATCTAATGCAAAATGGGACAAACCCTTCGAGGAGTAGAGCACTATCTTTGCAGCAGTAGATAACGGGTCCCAGGGGTAAAGACCCTCAGCTCCGTGCCACATGTGGAAGGCTGCCCTGAGCCTGCTTTCCCACAGGGTCTCCCACACCATCCTGGAAACACAAGCAGGGCACAGAGTAACTTTTTACATTCTGGGGTAAGTTACTAAGGTATCAGAAGCACTTTGGGATTTGAGGTAGCTGGGCAGCAGGGGATAGAGACTGCCAGGCAGTGCAAACATCAGCAGCGCTTCCAATGCCCTCCTAGGCTTGCCACAAGAGGAAGAATGACTTGGTGGACAAGCACAAAATAATAGCTGCTTTAGCTGCAACCATTGCTGCACATCATTTACTTGTCAGAAGACGTGTGTCCTGACAGTTTTAGCTTAAAAAGCCCTTGGAAAACCAGATGTGAGTATTGCAGTTGTTATATAACAGGCATGTCCTGTACTAGGCAATAAGTTTAGAGGGCTGAGCAGGATCCTGCTTGAAGAAAATGCAGTTGACAGCAACACACATTTGAGAACTAAAAGAAAAACATGCCGAGTAAAACTCTGCTTGCTAATTATCTTTCTTGCATGTGTTTTATTTTTGTCCATCTCTGTTTCAGTGGCCAGTATTCCCTTGCTGTAGTTAACTTGCAAATACAGTCCTTAGGGCTGCGCTCCCTCAAGGAAATAAGCGATGGAGATGTTGCCGTTATGAAGAACAGGAACCTCTGCTATGCTGACACCATGGACTGGCACAGCCTGTTTGCAACTCAGAGCCAGAAAACAAAGATTTTACAGAACAGAGATAAAAATGAGTGTGGTAAGTCAGCGCTGCATTCCTACTCCCCACCAAAGCTCATGCTGAAATGGAAGTGTAAGCTTTGCATTTTCATGATTCAAGCAAAGCCTTTTTCCCCCTGTTTCTCTGGCTACAAAATTCATCAGTGATACTCCTTTAATGAACCTGGTGAGGGAAAAGTGGGATTTTTTTTTTTCCCACCAAGAATGTGGACGTCACGGTGTCCAGCAGATCAGGAGTTCCTTCACCCCTGTGAGCACTGTGAAGCTACAAAGTTAATTCCTAACATTGGGCTTTATTGACAAGGTCAAAGCTGTGGTTCAACCATACTGCTGTTGACTGCAGTGGTCCCTGGGCCAAAATATAATGATTTCTTTTTGCAGAATATGAATATTTTATGTTTGAGAAATTTATCATGAAATCACAGAACGTTTTGTGTGAAAAGGGACCTTTAAAAGTCATCTAGACTAACCTCACTGTTATGTGCAGTGATGCCTTCCACTAGAACTATGTCTTCATTACATCCATTCTAAATCGACTCTTCAGTTTAAAACCATTTACCTTTGTCCTGACACTACAGGCCTTATTAAAAAGTTGTTATATGCCCCCTTTAAGTACTAAAAAGTCTTGATAAGGTTTCCCTGTAACTATCTCTTCCTCAACCTGGACAACCCCAGCTCTCTCAGCCTGATTTAGTAGTGTTATTATACATCTGTTAGGCTGTCACAGAGGAGCTTGTTCTTATTTTGAAAGACCAGAAGTCACTCTTAGTTCCAGGCTTTGGGACTTAAGCATGATTTCTCCTCTTCCACACCGCCTGGAGCATTCACGTGTGCTTTGGAACAGATTGGAGAAACTTTCTGGTCAGATGGAGTGAGGGTGGAGAGTTTGAGCTCTCTCTTGCCTTGGCATTCATGGCTTTTCTTATCTTTGTTTCTTTCTCAGCTGCTGCCAAGCATGTTTGTGACCCCCTGTGCTCAGATGTGGGCTGCTGGGGCCCAGGACCCTTCCACTGTTTCTCCTGCAGGTTTTTTGCTCGCCAGAAGGAGTGCGTGAAACAGTGCAACATCCTACAAGGGTAAGCTGTTCTCAGGAGTGCATGAGGTTTTGGTGATAATTTGGGGGTTTTGGTTTTTAAAATACGTTGTAGCTGGCAAGAAGCAAAAAGTAGGGTCTCTGGTTGCGTGGGATTTCACCAGCTTTGCAGAGATGTTACGTGAACAGAGTACCTAGTTGAGGTACCTCTTCTTTCTCGATCAGTATTGCTTGGGAGTTTGTTCCTGCTATGGTGAACTGCTAAAAAAACATCCCCTTAAACCCACAAGGAGAGTATCTGTAGGCCCAAGGAGGCTAAGCCTTATGCCTCCTTCTCATAAGTAATAAAGGAGCTTAAAACCCTGGTGAAAATCCAAGCTGTGACTTGTTATGTCAAGTACCTTGGGTGAGAGCCAGAGCCATTTAGAGTCCCCAGGAGCTCAGTCATCCCCAGAGCCAGGGACTCATGTTTGCTCAGATGAGCAGCTCACCCTTGCACTTTGCAGAGTTGCAGTCAAGGGAGAGTGAGCTTTCATGCAAAAATCACTGAGAACAGCAATTTCAGGGCAAAATTATTGCTTCAGCCTCACTCAGGCCATTGAGAACACATTACTGCTTGTGTGTCAGGGCTGTGCCTGGGTTTTTCAGGCAGTTCAACAGGTGATGTAGGTGGGAAAGGTACATCTAGCAATGAAAATTACAGGGACTTTTCAATAAAGCTTTGACTTTTAAAGCTCACAAGTATTAAGCAAGTACTTGTCAGGGTGCTAATGCCTCTGATGTTTGTATTTCTCTAGTGACTTGTAGTTCAGCAGCTGTCTTTCCTTAAGTGAATTCTCTCCAGCAGCTATTATAACCTGAAGGGCAGATCTGGGCATTTTTTGTGTCAAATGATGGGTAGATTTAGTTTAATTAATAACACCATTACTTGAAGTGGAACAGCTTTATTGCTATTGAAACCATCTGTTCCCAACTTTCATATTTTAATGATTCATTGTGTGTTGTAGAGAGGACATGAATTTAATTATCAGTGCCTTGCTGTTTAACTTTCCTAATTATTATTTGTAGCCTTGGAATCACTTGAACTGTTTTTGCTGATCTCTTTGCATCACTACCTTTTAAAAGCCTCTAGAAATGGTGGTGAATATTCTGTGGCACTAGCTTAAAAGGGAATGTAAACTAATTTGTAGCGTGCAATCTGGAATGCCATGTGTTTCACTGTCAACCAAATTTCCCTTACTCTTATGTCCTCAGGAGTGCTACTGGTGTAGCCAAGAGGGTCCCCCTGTACCTCCTACTGTCTCAGCACCATCATCATCTCGGTTGATTTAAAGTGGAATACTCAGGAAAAGGAGAGAAGACCACAATTTATCACTCACTAATCAGCCTGGGATTTAATGATTTCTCTTTTGTTGTTGTTGTTGTTGTTTTCCAGGGAGCCAAGAGAGTTTGAAAAGGACTCCAAGTGCCTACCCTGCCACCCTGAGTGCCTGGTGCAAAACAACACTGCATACAATGCAACCTGCACTGGACCTGTAAGAGCAGATTCACCTTAGCAAACCTCAAACTATGTATTAATAAGTATTTCCCATGTTGAGATAGTCCTGAGGTCTCGTTTACTCCTCTCTGAGGCAGACCAGAGGTGGGAAAGGTTAGAAGTCAAGATCTTGGGGTAGGGGAGCAGGAACAGGACAGGAAACCTCAGGGTGTTATTTTTCTTTTGTGACATGCAATCCACAGTCACAGGCATTGTAGGGCCTTTAATTTTTAATTCTACACAGGAAAAAAAAGACTTACTTATGTATGTGACAATACAGTAATTTGGCAAACATTTGAGGGACACGTAGATACTGAACTGCCATGCTGATGTGAACAAGATAGATCAAACTTGTATCTTATTGTAAAACTCCAGTTTTCTCTTTTTTTTTTTTCTTTCTTGTAATTGAGATCAAATCTCCTGCTCTCATCAAAGTTCCTCCCCTGTGCTGTTTGACCCAACTCTTTAAACACCCAGCAGCCTCTGAGTGTTTGACCCTTGCCCATCATCAGTTTGAAGAGTCACTGCCCAGTAATGTGAAGCATTTCCATCCTCCCTTCTAGCACCATGGTCTCAGGGATGTTATTAACATTATAAGGTCCTTCAGGCAGTGACCACCCCCCTGTTCCATATTTGCTCAGCATCTAGTAATCAGTCTATTATAATGGCCCTTAGACATTACAGTGGTTAAAATAATTTTCTTATAGTATGTATTACTGTAGTCCCACTGCAACTGGCACTTGGATCTTGCCTGGTTTTTCTCCATAGTGGAATTTGACCCAGAATTGCTAGTTCCCCTTCTTTAAAATATTTAGGTCATTCATGGTGCTGTTACAGTCCTAATAAAAACGGTTCTGCCAAAAATGGCGAAAGGCAATTCCTTTAAACACAAACTAAGTGCTTTTCAAAGTAAAAAAAAAAAATATAAAATTCATGCACTCCTTGGGTTGCCTCCGTTACTCCATGCTTCTCTCTAACAGAGGAAAGAACCTGTGCTGAGAAACCAGGTAAATAATGATTTGAGGCCAGTACTTCAAGAGGGTGTCAGCAGGTCCAATGTTTTAAATTGTGTGATGGTAGATTGTACCAGATATCTGCCGAGCCGTAAGATTTTTCAGACAACACCTTATTGAGGTGCCATTAAAATATTCCCCACTTAAAATGAAAAATGTAGCTTTTCCGACCAGGCAGAAGGCAGACCAGGATAAAAGAAGCAAATCTGAAAGGCAAAAAATTGCTAGCTTTAAGGAGCAGGGACTACCTTTTGTATGGTCCATCCTACAACAGCAATTGCTTGCAAGAATAAAACCAGATGACGCTGAAAACTTCCAGCAGTGGAAGGCACTTAGATTTATCTTCTGAATTTTCTCCTGAACAGGCTGATTGAAGGGCATTATAAACAAGTTGCTTCTCTTTGCAGGGTCCTGACAACTGCATGAAGTGTGCCCATTTTATAGATGGCCCCCACTGCGTGAAATCCTGCCCAGCGGGGGTGCTGGGTGAGAATGACACCCTCGTCTGGAAATACGCCGACGCCAATGCCGTTTGCCAGCTCTGCCACCCAAACTGCACCCGGGGGTGAGTAAAACCTTGCTTAAATGGAGACAGGGAAGAAAAGAAATAGGGGGAACAGCTCGTCTTGAGCTGCTTCTCTTCCTGACAGTCCCATGTCAAACTACTGAGAAGAACTAGCAGGGAACATGAGAGGTCAGCAGTACACAGGTAATGTAAGCAGAGTGTGGCAGACTTCGTAAATAGGAAAAATTCAGTGGTGCTTCATCTTTACACGGAAGGCAGAAAAAAATAAATGGTTTAGGGGGTTTGAAACAGGTTTTCTTGATAACTTAAATGTAAAATTTCCTGGAATTTTACAGAACTCACGCAGCAGTGATGAACTTTTTTCCCCCCCACCTGGCTTGTGGCTGGGTCCTCTGGTTTTGGGAGGAACATCAGTGACATCTGGTGGATGCTGGACTCCTAAGGCCCATCTTTATCCACACTTTTCAATTTTCAGGAGGGAAACCCCCAGCTGAATAACATGGTGTTTTAATTTTTCTCTCTTCTTCTTTCCATATGCTAGCACTTGGTCTGAGCTGAAAGCCTTGCTTGCCTCCAGAGTGTGGCATTATTAATGGGCATCACAGTAACCCCATTTTTGTCCTCGTTTCGGGGGCACACTTAAACTGCCACCTGGAACAAGCTGTGAATTGAACTAGTTAACCTACATGACAAGTAACAACTGTCTCCTCGCCTGGTTTCCAACCTGCAAAAGACATAGGATGCGCAGTAAAAGGTTTTAGGGTTTGAGAGTTGATTGCTACACTGATGCTTTCAGAGCAAAAAACCACACACATTTGGCGTATTTTCCTTCACAGGCCCCTCCCTTTTACCCTGCAGGCCTGTCTGATCCAAAATCCTTCTATAGTATGCCTGTAATATGTGTTGCAAGAGAGGAGACCAACCATCATCCCATTGTGTATTAGCTAATCCAACTGCCAGGACCTCGACTTCATGGAAAAAAGGAGATGAAGGGTGAAATTGGCAAGAAACAGCCCTTTCTAGTGCTCCTAGTAAAGTTCAGTGCACTGATTTTCAGATGGCAGTTGTACTACCTATGTAGATTTGCCGCAATTTACAGTGATGCCCCCTGATTTTGTTATAGTTGCAGGCAAGACTTATCAGGGCTTCCCACTGCAATGCCTGAGAACAAATTCCCTCAGTTGAAAAGGAATCTTTATAAGTTTGCTCTTTGTTAATGACCTCGGTAGTCCCTACTGATACAAACTGGCCACGGAGATCCAATATCCTCCTTCTAACTGGCCACATGGAAGTGCAGCTGATTAGCGGAGCAGCGTAATGAGTAACCACATCTGAACAAGGCTTTCCACTGCGCGGCCTTGGTAGCGAGATCAAACACTAGGCTCAAATAAATGCAGACTTGGAGAATGTAATCTGCCAGGCAGGGGTGCAACGACGAGCCATGCAGTGGCTTTTAGTGCACCAGCAAGTTCCCAGGGCAGACTTCATCAGGGAAGTCGATTCCTGCCTGGCTTTGGCAGTGGATGGGGGTACCACAGGAGTCTGGCAGGAGATGGGGTTACAGTAGGGAGGGTTTTTTTTTAAAAATGAGGGGTACCTAACATATGGCTCTGTGTATTTGGCCCCGTGTTTTCCAGGCAGAACATAAAAAATAGTATCAATTTCATCTTTTACATGAAAAATGGACTGAATTTGCATCAGTTACATTGTAAACACGGTGAATCACCCCATTTGAGTTGCTGCCCAAATGGGGCAGAAGAAATAGGCTGTGTGCTTGAAGGGCTTGAGAGAGCTAGGAGGTAGTGTTGCTGTTTGTGCTATACAGATGGTACCTCTGAGGCCAGTGGCATTGACGAGTAAGGAGGCAGTGTCAGTGGCACGGTGTGGGAATATGCAGCGTTGTCCCCGTGAAGGCAATCCATCAGTAACGCCACTTCTCTTCACGCCTTTCCCTCATTTTGCTGCGGGAATGGGATCTGTTCAGCAGTGGGTGGAAAACATCTGTCTCACAAAGTTTTTGCATCCTTAGAAACCACAGTCTCAGCAATTCCTGCACAACAAGAAACAACAACTTCATTTCTGTCCTTGTCCAATTTCACGGGTAGAGCCAACAAAATCTTATCAGCATGATTAAGTGTGCTTACTTCAGTAGTCATGCTGGTAAGGGTTCCCAGGATCTCTCTCTTTTTTCCTTATTTGAAGAAGCTGCAAGCAAAGGGCTTCTTTTCCCAGCTGAGTTTTGTCACAAACTTTGTTTTTGCATTTTAGGTATGCGCACTGGTAGTACATCACTTCTTTTGTAATGCCACAAAGAATCCCTTCAAGAATCCCTTTGTAATCCCACAAAGAATCATTTTCTTTGCTGAGTCAGTTTTTCAGCCTTCATTAGGGCATAGAATGAAGGAAGTTTTCTCCTGCTCAGCCCAAAAAACTCCTTCTTTCCCAATTCTCCTGTACTCTCTTGGGGATTTTGTGCACAGCCTTCCTTTTGCCATGCCTCTAGTACAGCTGAGAATATGTGAAAGCAACATCTCAAAAGCCCTGGAATTACCCTGTCTATACCTTCAGCATCTAATGACACTCACTAGCTTAATTAATCTGCTCAGTGTTGAAGGATTTGGTCTCACGGAGTACAGGAATTAAACTCAGACACAGGCACAACCACTGGAGGGAATGAGCAAGGAGAAGAGAAGCCAATACTGACACATCCTGCCTCCCCAGTTGCTACTAACACTGTGTGTCTCACCAGTCCTTGTGTTAAATGCCAGGGGATTTTTGGGGCAGGTGAGAAAGAGGCCAGGGGGTCCAAGAGGGAAGGTTGCAGCAGCATAGTGCGAATGTTATGCCTTTGTCACACTTGAAAGGTTAATGAGAGAAGAGGACAAAGTAAAGTTTCTGTAAAGCTTTGAAAAGCCCACTGGTTTTTAATTTCCTTTATGACTGTGAAGTAACTTAGGCTGTTACAGTGTGAGTCCTTTCTGAAAGGCCTTAAGGCATAACAACTTGACTGTATCACATCAAATTAGGAACTATGGGTCGAGGAGAAAGTTGTTAAAATCTTGATGGATTTGGGAAATAAATAGCTGTGTCTGCACTGGGACAAGTAATATTTACATAGTCAAATGAAATACTGAGTTCAGAAGTAAACAATTTTCAGGAACTGTACACAGTAATAATTTTCCAATGAGTAGAGAAATATTTCAGAGACTACAAGTGCTCCTATATCCATCTGAGGTTCAGGCACTTCATAACCTAAGTCTCATTTGGTTTCTGTAACCAGAAGAAAAATTACTAAGGAATGGAAAAAGTGATTGTTTAGATTCCATAAAACTTGAGTTACTTATGTTGAGTGTCATCGTAAAATTCCACAATAAGAAAGATAGTTATATGTAGTCCTGGATGGATATTTCTCATAGGTGTTGTTTCTTCTCTGACTTGTGAAATGGATCAGAAAACCACATGGGATTTGAAAAGGACAAGCTGATCTGTCGTTTTCTTCCCAGATACCTTTTTACTTTATCCACCCAAACTTGATATGGATGGGGAAAAAAGAAGGGGACAGATAAAAACCTACGCTTCTTCTGTTCCTATTCTGAGGTGTAGGAAAAGAACTCAGATTGTAAATACTGTCAGCCAATTCTGTTTGGTGTTAGAAAGCACATAGAGGACTAGCCATTATAAAGTAGCATGGCAAAACAGAATTTTGAGGAAGAGATACTTTGAGGGACAATAACCATGTTATGAAATAAAGTGAGGTCTTTTAATTTCACAGTCTTATTCAAGGGCAGCCACACATGCTTTGTTGCATTAGCATGTAGAAATTCACGTCTGGGCAGTAGAGCACGATAGGATGAGATCTGGAGTCTTAGATCAGTTTTCTATTGAGCACCCGAAGCAAGATCAGCCTCCTATGACTATAAACAAGCTGGTGGTTCTGCTCTGCACGTGCAGCCTCTCTGTGCTTAGTTACACAACTCAGCAAACAAAGCAAGCCGTATGCAGATAGCAGAGCTAACAAAGCTGAGTACCCGGGATCTGGGAATTGGTATGCACAGCACTTCCAGCATGTCCAGGACACCAGGATGCACATTCTTGCATGGGAGCCCAGTGAACTTACAAGACCTTCCAGTTGCTGGGTCTTGGAGCACTGCGTTGGCCCAGAAACAAGGCAAATACATGAGGGAAGATCAGAGTAATGAAAGCAAACAAACAAATAAAAACCCACTAAAATTAGTCGTTGCTTTACCTCTTCCTTCCCCAGACCTAGACCAAGTCATAAGATCTGCAACTCTACCTAACAATCTGAAATTTTTCTGGTTCCTCCTCTTAGCGAAAGGGATTTCAGAGCAGTTTTCCTGGCACGGGCTCACTCCTTATCCCCTGCTTGACCTCCTCTGAATTTGTTTCGAGACGATCTATTTTCTTTAAGTCAGCGCGGGGAGCGGATACCACAAACTGGACTTCACTCCTTCCTGTGCTCTGTTTTTCAGAGGTGATGTCACCCCCTCTCTGTAATGCTCTCCTTCCTCAGCAGGCACCACAAAGACCACAATTCCCATGCAGAGCATCCATCTCGTAGCCCAGCAGCGCTTGGGGAATTCCCAGTGCCTCTCATGCCCATTAGACCATCAAGTGAACGCAGTCACTGTGCTTTCATCTGTGTTGTTTTTTTTGCATTGGGCTGCCAAAATTAATTTTGAGAATTTTAAGCTCCAATGGAGGGTGAATGACTTGCTAGTAGAGTTCCTGGCTCTCTAGATAGCTGCTGTACCTGTTTACATTACCAGTAACATAAGACTATCGATTCCAAAAGAAAAATATCATGGACACATGCCCACAAACTAGCCAGAGAGAGTGCTGTCAAATCCTGTTTTTTTTGATGGGAGTCCCTGTTTTCCATTGCAATAGGAAGTCTGAAAGTAGAAATCTTTACCTTATCAGGAAACAAGGATACGCTGGAGGGTCTGCAATGACACATTTCCACATTTATTTCTATCCTTGTCCTTTCCACGTGTGCTTCTGTTCTCCTCCACAGTCAGCCCTGAGCTCCTGCACTAATGCTGATGTCCATGCAGAGCCAGGGAATCCACGAATTTTGCGTATCTGCGTTCTCCCCCCCTTCTACCATGCGACCGAAAATTGTTTTAAAACATTCTCTAAACTGAGTATGCAGCATAGCTGTTCCTCTAGATAAAAGATTTTTGGAGCAAGGTCACTGACTGATATTTGGTGGAGTGTATGACTATTATAAATTCCTATGTTAATGCTTGGACTGCGCTGAAACACAAGCTTTTCGATCAGTAGCACTCTTCTTAGCTGGAATTATAGAAGTATGTAGGCCAGAGCTACTACGTTTGTTAACGTTCATTTGTTTTCACAGGTGCAAAGGGCCAGGTCTTGAAGGCTGTCCAAATGGGTGAGTATTTCATCTGCTACAATTAATGGCAGACCTGGAAAGAATGCATGTGTGTTTACATTTCCACACTGGACACTGCGAGGCTGGGACTTCAGTCTTCAGCTCTGTACAGGGAACTGACAGCTTAGAGCAGACTCAGACCTATAAAAATGGTTTAAAGGACTGAGAAATATTGCTACTGGCACAAGACTTCGAAATCTTGTTCTGCTTAGCCTTTTTTTTGTCAAGGTGAGACTTGGGATCTGTTACTGGCAACAAAAAGAGGGGATGGAAAAGGAAAGGATTAAGGACAGAGAGAGAGAGAAAGAGATATCTAGGGTTGATGTAGTTACCTGCATTATGGAGGACTCAGAGAAGCAGAGGGCCTGTGATCTGCACATCTCCAACAGTTCTGTTCCCAGATGGATGCCCATTTGTCACACTGTGTCTTGTATCAAACTGTTTGGCCTCATGACATGCTCAAGTTCATACAACAAGTTAACAGGCTTCTTTTGCTGAAAGAGGGGGATTTATTTTCTTTCCACAAAGTCATGCTATGGCAAGAGAAATTCAGCCTAGAAGTAATGTTAAAAGTGACCGCATTTAATAGTAATCCCTGGGGCAACTGAGAAAAAAGCTGGCACGGATATCTAAGTACAGACCAAAAAACAACCTCGGAAACCAAGTTCTTCTTTTCAACCTTAATTTGAAATTACCAAGGCTCTAACAAAGAGGCAGCAAACTGTACATGCAACAGGGATGGCACACACAACACCTGGCCTCAGACATTTGTACTTGTGAAGGCAGGTCATCTCACCCTTACAGCCTGGCCCCTCCAGTAATGGTGAGGTGTCAGCTCCACCGCAGGTATCACAACTGCTTATGCCTTCCCAGATCTCCTCCTCTCCACATGCTTCGTGTGTCTGATCATATGCAGACTGCCCACAGATGGAGTACACAGGCATCACAGATTTGATGCTCATGTGCTCGGTGGGTTTGTCAGAGCAGAAATCCTTTCTCTTAAGCTATGAGGGTCAATTCCGATTTCAAGTTTGAGAGAAGAGTGAAGACTTTGAACAGAAACTTGAAAATGCAGATGCCCAAGAAATCTGAAATGTCAAATAGGCTCTTTGTGGCTGCCCAGAGTATGTGCTTGATCAAAACCTAAGGCTTCATGCAACCTCTATAAGGCCTCTTTAAAATCTCACAACTAAGAATTTTTTTTTTCTCCTTCTGCATCTCCTCCTGTGTTGCAGCTCCAAAATTCCGTCTATCGCAGCTGGTGTTGTCGGAGGTCTCCTGTGCCTGGTGGTGGTCGGGTTGGGCATCGGCCTTTACTTGCGGAGACGCCACATCGTCAGAAAGCGGACCCTGCGCCGGCTGCTGCAGGAGAGGGAGGTGAGCGGTGCTGGCACAGCTGCAACACCCAGTGCTTTTTTTGGGCCAAAGGGGGGCCATCCTCCTTTTACCAGAGAATTAAAGCTCCGTGCTTGTGCTAAAGCCTTGTACTTCAGCTATCCCTTGGGCTTGGAAAACGCAGCGTCTGCCACGCTACCCAGGAAAGAGGCGGCGTGCATCTATCACCTTCTCAGTTAATCTCAAAAATCTGATCCCTCTGGGTCTAATTTTCAAAAGATTTAAAAAGATGTCTCAATCCCAAGGAATAGTCATTGATATTGTCTACTCAGAAAAAAAAACATAGCTTCAGGGTGAGGTGCAATGTGTTTGCTGATCCATACCACCTTGCTGCGTAGATCTTCAGCCTAAAATCATGTGTTGCTTCAGACAAGCCTTGAGGCTCCTGTGGCAGCTTGAAGTGCTTTTGAAAATTTTACCCCCTTGATCAGGTGCGTGCCTGATCCTGCAGAAAAAAAGAGGAGATCAGGGAAAGGAATTGAGGAAGTATTTATGTCTTGGTTTTGGTTTGTTTTTAGCACAAAACCATCAAAGTGAATGGTTCGCCCTGTTGGGCATGAGCAAGGTTTCTACTCCACTTTTTCGTTTTGGATGGCTTTATGTGCCTTATAGCATCACCTTCTGGGTACCTCATATATAAAAGAGCAAAAAAAAAACTGAGTTGAATCTAGCTAAATATGGTTTTATTCAAAGGGAAGGCAAAAGGAGAGACAGCAGGGGAAAAAGCTGACTTATGCATCATAAAAGTGTTAAATACCTTCGTTTGGAGAGCATTACTGCTGTTTGCAATAAGACTTAGATTAAATTTTGAAAAAATTGATAGCCAATTCGGCATCTTTTTCTTGAGGAAAGAATCACTATCAGAATTTCAATTGCTGCTTATACACTTTGTGGTCTGGGGGAACCACTGGTACCCTGGGAATTTCATCCAGTTAAACAAGAGCAGACCTGAAAGGTTGCAGGTGATTCTTGCCCATTATTTTAAACATTTTAATAATTTATTCACGAGTTAAAAAAAAAAAAAATCTCCTTTAGGATCTGTTGCAATTACATTCTTTTTCATGCTGCATTTTAAGTCTTTGAAGTCCAAACCTCCATTTAAGCAGTAGTTTTCCTTCATTCTCCTTCAAAATGGCAGTCACCACTCTGTGATTTTTGGAGCCGCTTTAGGTATTTATTCCTGTGAATCAGAGCAGAGCTATCCTCCCATAAACTCCCCATGAAATAAAATATTCATGATTTTAAAGGAAGGGTTTATTTGCTTCCCCAAAGTGTTCAACCTTCTAGACTGTGTATCCTTCTAACATCATCTTCTGTCTGCACCAGCTTGTCGAACCACTGACACCCAGCGGGGAGGCGCCAAACCAGGCTCATCTGAGAATTCTGAAGGAAACAGAATTTAAAAAGGTCAAAGTTTTAGGCTCTGGAGCTTTTGGCACTGTTTATAAGGTAAGATCACCATGTTTCTCTTCTCCATCTTGCTCCCTCATGCAGAAGCCACCCAACAAAGTATGAACTGGGAGCTGTGACCATTGTGTAGGGTTTTTTTTTTTCAACTAGATTTTGTGGCATATATCTATTGAGTGGTAGAAAGATGACTCAGTCATCAGTAGCTGAGTTATGAACTGGGTAACAGGACAAGGTGTATGTAAGATGTTGCTGAAGCCGTATTGCTGAACCTGGAAAACAAAAATCTTGATTTGAAAACTGCCACAGTCAAATTCACCCTATTGAGAATATTAAGAAAAAAAAAAGAAATGCAATTTGGTCAGCTTAGGGCTAAGCCATTCTTGTGTGTCATCTGGGGTCTTGTTTTTATAATTTTCAATCGCTCTTTCATTAGAACTGGCTCAGATGCGTCCAAGTGTCTACACACCTTCAGTTGTGTAGGTCCACAAGGTATTTTTTCTCTTGGTGTTTGTTTATCCCCCGTGTTTCTTCATCAAGTTCCACTTTTCTGTGCTCCTCCTTTTATTCAGGATATGTGTTTCAGGCTTTGCCAGTGGTACTGAAATATTAACTGTAGGTTGATATATCTCTTTATAAAGCTCTGTATTCTGAAGCAGGCTTCCAGCTATGACTAGAAACTTCAGGGACATGAAAAGATGTGCACCTGCATTGCTGGGTACTTCAGCAGTATGTCCTCCCAGTGGACACACTGTTGACCTGCCACCTAAATGGCCTCCTGACACTGTAGATGTAGAGCACTGTACCAGCTGGACAGAGACTTCCCTGCCACTGCATAGGACTGGACTATTTGTACAGGATAGATACCAACTGGTTTTAATGAAAAAATGCTAATTCTTTTCACCCCATGATTTATAAATTGGGAGTGGCAAGGTTTTGCACATGCAGTTGCTGCGATGCTGTAATAATTAGATTTTCATCTGCAAAAAATGTTCTTTATGCATCTCTTGGGACAGGGACAGTAAGGAACATGTTTCTTCAAAAAAATATAGTAGAGGTGACTGAAAGAGAAATACCACCACGTTAACAGGATTTTGTAGCCACCCATGAGACACATTTTTTGCATATTTTTGTTGTTCACCACGTCTTCCCATTGCTCAGAACATGTAAATCTACTTAGAAGATGTAAAACATATATAACTGTGAGAGTTAACCTGTTAGATGTGAGACTGAATAACTTTGTGCTTCTTTCTCATAGGGACTTTGGATCCCAGAAGGGGAGAAGGTTAAAATTCCCGTTGCTATTAAAGAGTTGAGAGAGGCTACATCACCAAAAGCCAACAAGGAAATACTTGATGTAAGTTTTCATGTTTGTTTTCTCAATTGATCTGTGAATTGTCTTCTCTAACAGCTAAATGGGTTTAAGGATTTTGTGTGGAAAGAAATATTTTGCACCCTGAACTGAATTCTCCATTTGGAAGGGCTGTGCTTTGCAACGCAGTCTGCAAAGTGCTTTTATGTCTCGCAGTCCAAATACAGACTTTATACTCCTGGGGTAGCACCTACAGAGGGATCAGGAACATAGGTTTACAGCTAATTATTTTTTCTTTATTCTGATGTTTCAGGCCTTAAACTGTAGCATTCATTGCTGTTATAGTGATACAACTAAAGCAAATAACAACAGACCTAATGATTTCTGATTTCTGACACTGCAGATTGTCATAAGCTAGTTGTTTGGTTACACAGGATTAAATTTCAGATAAATCCAAAATTTAAAAAAAAAAAAAAAACAGCTGTCTGATTTTTCTGCCATAAAACACAATAAATTATCTCACTTTCTGAAAGAGGCTTGGGAATTTTATCTTCTTGTTTGGATATAGCTTATCACTTCAGAAAACAAGGAAAAAGACTGTAGAACACTGATTCAGGAATTCATAAATTTGTGAGTTTACAACAAGTGAGCCAGAGTCCTAAATACAAAGTTCCCTGAACTTGGAACTGATAAAAATCTTAAATAGAAAATCTTAAAGCCATGGAACATACAACACCAAGGATATATAAATTTTTATACAAGGAGAGGAAAATGATGAGTGTGGAGAGGAGCACTCAGATGTCCAGTGCAAACTTCAGATTTCCTGTGCTGTGGTTAATTCCTAAGCAACAAGAAAAGTGTACCTCTCTGTCCTATCCCTGGTATGTCCCAAATGGACCTGTCTGTCTGGAAGGGATGGTGGTGTTAGCCAAACACACAAATTCTTCAGCCATGGGAAAAACTATGGATTTTTAAAATTTTGCTAGGAACTGAATTTAGCTGGAATTCTTTTTTTTAAATCCAGTTTTGGCCAGCTAGTGACACCTCAGGTAGGGAAGGTTCATGTCAAATGCTTGAAGCTGGCAAATATCTTAACAAAAAGCCAGGTCTGGTAGCGAGAAGTCTCAGGATAAACAGCTGTGAACAACCAACCACTTGTGCTACTTATGAAAATAAAGCACATTAGATTTTCAAGTCATCCTGAATAAACGGTGTTATTCCAATACGTTTCTCTGTTTCAGCAGATTGCATGTTATGTACAATATAATTTATATGTGTATTGCAGCAATGCAGAAGAATAGGTGGTCCATTTCAGAAATCCATACAGGAGGCAATATCCATCCTGATTTCAGTTTAGCTGGACTCCAGACCAGTCTCAGCCTTTCCCCAGGTCCTTGCCCATGTGGCCCTCATCCCTGCCCCTCACCTGCCTTTCAGCAGGCTGGGGTCCCTCCCTTCACTGCCATTCCCTGCACTGGGGAGCTGGCAGAGATGCTGCTCAGCATCTCTGAGACCTGCCCCTCGTTTTGCTCTTCAGAGTGATAAGGAGTATAACACTGTTCACAAAGGATGCTTTGAAACTTAACTGCATTAAATTTCTGTACCCTGAAGGAAGGGTTAATGAACAAGCCTACCATACTTCATCCTGCCTTCAGCTGATCAAGGTGGTCACAGGACAGAGCAGTAGGTGCAGGTGCAGGGACTGGGTGCTCTTCAGTGGTGTCAAAGTACTTTCTCCTTTAAAAGTAGTTTCTGTAGCATATCCCCACGAAATATTTTCATTTGAATTAGGATGTTTAACAAAAAGCTTTTGCTTTTTCAATCCTGTTCATTTTACAGGTGATTTGGTTGGTGGATTTCATTCTATATTTGAGAAGAAAATTAAAAAAAAAACAAAACCAGTAAAAGAAGTCAGGGAGATGACTCCAGAAGCTCTTCTCAAAACAGATTTTTGCTATACAACCAATTTTTCAGGGTCACTGGAACCTCGAGGATATTCATGTGCAATTAAAGATGATTTGTCTTACAGAAACACACTAGGTATAGAACAAGCACAGCAGCTTTAGCCCATATAATCCAGTCAAGCTCTCGCTGACTTTGTTAGGGTAGGGCTAATTCAGGAGATTGTTGTTGAATACCAAGCATACTTGGAGCAGGTCAGAGCGAACCAAAGAGATTTCCAAGATAAACAGTTGAAACAAAGGCCCACTTTAATGTCTTGGGCTACTTCGAGGGACCCACAGCCACACAATAGCTCCCTTCTGCTCCCTGCGAGGAGGCAGTGGCCTATTTTACTTTGCAGTATCCAATGTAAGAGACGGTGCCAACACTTGGGAGGCTCTCCCAAAGCTGTGTGGCCCCTACGCCCACCCCGCTCCTTCAGCTTCCCAGTTCTCAGCCCCCGGGTCAGCCCCGCGTGGACTGTGCAGCAGATGGGCATTGAGAACAGCTCTGACTCTGCAGACTTCCCCCCACCCTGCCTCACTGAAATGAATACAATATGGATTTGATTCCCAACAGGAAGCAGGGGGGAAAAAAAACAGGCATCCTTCCTCGTTAGGACGGCTCGGTTTAGAAGCGTATGGAAATAAAGTTGTTTTGGTATCTGCTTACATCTGAGCGTCGGATAACAAATTTGCAAGATTCTCGAAAAAAGTGCTGCCACAAATATCTACACAACTGAATAACAGATTGTGTTCTTGCTTTATCTTTCCTCGAGCTAGCCCATATAATCCGTGCTATCCATGGCAAAGGGTTGTTCTTCAATGACCTGCCCACATGCAGCAGATTGAGGAACACTTACCCGGTTCTGCTGGAGATGATCTTTAACCTGCTTGCCTGGAGGCCACTTTCATCCCAGGGGTTCCAAAACAAGGAAACCAAATGCAGAATTAGCACCTCAGAAGAACGTGCATTACATCATGTTTTGCCTAGGCTGGCATGTTAAACAATACCAAGACCAGAAAGTATTGCTTAAGAGTTGGAGTTGCTTATTTCTTGAACGTCATTGCTTTAATAACTTTGTTTAATAATAGTTCTTACCAGCTATACAGCTATGTGACATCTGTGAAATGCTTGTTAGATGATGAGTAAAGTGCTATGGTATTTCTTTTCTTAAGCTCTTAGAAAGAGAAAATTTGCTCCTTTCCTTGCCCCAGTAGTGTCTTCACTATTAATTTAGGCTTTGGGGGACTACTAGCCTGAATTGCCAAGGGATAATTAGTTGGTGTTACTCTAGATGGTGAGTTAGGATACTGACCCACTGGCTGAATGGGAATTTTTCCATTTATTTCCCCTTGTGTTGCTTTTCCTCTAAAATATCTAGAAGTCACAGACTGTAAATCAGACACAAAGTTAGTTGAAGAAACCAAATAACTGCAGCTTCAATTTTTTTTCTCCCCAGTTGGAATCCATTTTTTGAGCTGGCACTTGACAGTGGATTTCAGTATAAATATTTATCTCAAATTTCAGTGCATAAGTAGGTTTTGCACACAAAATCATGTAGTCAGGAGTTTTTACCCAATGGCCATGTTAAAGGATGTATTTGGTGTATCTGAAGCTTCTGAAGGTGTCTCTCCCTTCCTACAAAAGAACAGGAGGTACCCTGGGTACCTTAGCTAAGTACCTAAAGCTACTCAGGGTGAAGCCAGATTTGCAAAAGGAGTTTTTCACATATTTTTGAAACCAAGACCCAAAATTCCAGTTGACCAAAGGGTCTATTATGCTTGGGCTCCCACATTATGAGTACCTTCCTGGTATCATTTACGTTGCGTAAAGCAGCTTTTCCAAAATTGGGACAGTATTTTCACTGGTGTCACCTAAAGACACATATTCAAGTTTCTAAAGTGGTGAACTGATTATTAATCTGGTTTGATGTGGGCTGAAGAATAACATCATCAAGGATAATATGGTCTCTTAAAAAATGAAACTGTCAGTCGTTTTCTAGGGGACAACTTTGACTTTCTGAGTTAGCACCAACCTTGACAGAGGAGCAGAAGTCTCACAAATACTGATTTCCAGTCAGTTTTGTGAAAAGGTCTGTAGGGGAAAAAACGCCGTTGGACAAAAGTTCACAAAATGTGTTGCCCTTGCAATTAGGTGCTCCAAATGGTGAAATCCCATCAGCTTCCAACTGATGTTCAATTTAGTAATTCTTCCTAGGCCAGTGAGTTTTAATACCCCCAGGATTCATGTTCAGTTTTTGCTTAGTGTACCAGTAGTGGGAGACTGACTCTTCTGCGGCATCTCAGTGATGATTCAGTGTTAAAAATCTGAACGTTCCACTCAAGGGAAACTATTTGGTCCACAGAGTGGGAAATACATGTATTTTATATGTGATGTGAGGCACAGAGTTTGCATGTAGTATTTTAGCAACCTCTTGAATGACCAAATTATTTTGAACTGCCTCCAAATGCTTGTGTCGTGCCGGAGAGAGTGTTTCACGTTGCTTTTTTTCCTTTATTCTCAGGAAGCTTATGTGATGGCTAGTGTTGACAACCCTCATGTGTGCCGCTTGTTGGGAATCTGCCTCACGTCTACTGTTCAGCTCATCACACAGCTGATGCCTTATGGCTGCCTCCTTGATTACATCCGAGAGCACAAGGACAACATTGGCTCCCAGTACCTTCTCAACTGGTGTGTGCAGATTGCAAAGGTGAGTGGACCAGCACCGCCTCCAGATCAGCTAAAACCCGGAGATCTGACAGCGTGCCATGTATTTATGCACTTACCTGTCTCTGTAAATCTTTCTGTTTCACCACCTGGGTCCCAGGTATCTTCTACATGACAGTAAGCGGTTACTTGGTCTTGAACAATTTACCTCTTTTGTGCTGATGAGCAAACTTTAGCAGTTCTTCAGAATGCTCCTAGAGAGCATAATACTATCACCAAAACATTTATGCCCAAACCAAACACCTGATATTGAAATAATACTGTGATCCTACTCTGATGCAACACAGGGGCAGGGAAGGGAATAGAATTTGGCAATTTCCATAGCAAAATGCTGCTTCCCTCAGTGAGTTTCTTTGGGCTGTGTCAGAGGACAATGATGTTGTTGAACACACCTTTTCAGTGCCCCTTGTAGAATTTCAGGGTGAAATCTCTGAGGCCTGGGGTCAAAACTGCTGATTATTGAATACCAGCTCCATTCTTGTACAGGCTGGCTGTGACTGGGAGACACTCAGGCATCCCAGAGCTGTTCTGTGATTTATAGGCACTGAGTTGGTGTCTGTAATCTAACTGCAATGGCCACGAAGTACTTATTATCACACCTGGGACTGTTTGCCAAAGAGCAGCAAAGGAGGCTGAGCCTTTAGCTCTTAGCAGCAGTAATGCTGTATTTCAATGGTGGTTAGCCATTTGCAGGCATGGAAGAACGGAGCAAAAAAATAACTGCAATTTGTTGAAGATCAGTCATATGAGATGCCAGTGTCCACAAAGTCTGGCTACTCTAACTCTGCTTATTTCAGGAATGCTGGTCTGCAGGCTAACCACACACTTAAAACCTTATCGGTCCCTTGAGACCTTGTATACATCCCAGGCTTGCCCAGCCATGGTTTGCTTTCAGGAAACATGCTGAAGAGCTCAGAAATTTATCCACCAGAAGTCTACTGAGCACATTCTTCATTTCAGTGTGTGTGTGTGCTTTTTTACATTGTATTCTGCAACAAGTGAATTTTAACTTATTTGTCCATCTGGGATGAGAGCTGCCTTTTTCTGACTCTTTTGCTCTCTTGTTGAAAATCAATTACTGCCCTGTCCTGGTTTCAGGCCCTTTGGAGGCTTAGCTGGAGGCCACATTCTCATTATTAAACTTTAAGGTGGCAAAATCAGTCCCCAAATGGATCCTTGGGGTATGGCTTGCCCGAAAGGTTGCCATTCACAATTGTTAGCTTCTGTTTGATTTTTTTTCATGTCAGTTCGACATTTGCCCATAGCAACATCTACCCTCTCCAGCGATGCCCGACCTTCAGAATACTCCTTTGTGCTGCTCAACACTGAAGTTCTCCTCAAAGCACTCGTAAATCACGCATACGGCTTTTTCCCACCAATGTGTCTGGTGTTAGTTCTCTGATAAAGCCGTGCCAGATTTTTGGACATTCTCTGACTCTTTAAAAATGTACTTTAGAGGGGGGAAAAAAAATTGCCACAAGTGTATGTCTGGTAACTAACCAGCAGGAGGCAAGTTCCCTGGGAAGTTTATTTTTGTTTCTGTTTTCACAGCTTTGAAATAAGTTTTCTTTGCGTCTTCTACAAACATTATTTTTCACTGAGGTATGGAGTCCTCTCTTTCTGACAAGCTGTTATGACAGAGCATAGACTCTCCATGTGCAGAAACACTGTGAAGGAACTCTTTGAACACATAAGTCTCATGCCTAATGATGAAAAAATGGTTTAAACCCCAGGCCTGCACACAGTTAAAGATCTTCTGAACTTTCTAGACGAGCAGTTCAACATCTTCAGTGTAAGGTTATGCCTGTGCACAAGCCTTTCAGCCATCAGTGTCTTAAACAGCTTAGTGTGAAACTGATACTCTGCTTTTCAGCAGCTCTGAGTCTTATTAGTCTTTGCAGCAACTCATTTTTAGCAGGAAATTTTTTGTCCTACTGGGGCTAGATTACGGGATTATTATGTTTTTTAAGATAGCCTGTTTTCTGTCAGGAGCTCAAGAGTTTTTATATCAAGAGCTCTGCTTGCTAAAGATCTATTTGTGTAAATCAGTGCACTCCACATAGTGGCACTGGGCCAGTTTGTTTGGGTGGTTTGTTTTGGCAGCATCAGCAGTGCACGGGTGAAGTTCTGCTCAGGGACTTGGGTGGAGGATTCGATGGTGGTCCGGGTTAGCAGTGGGTTTAGGAAGCTGGTGGAGGCTGGAAGGCAATTATTCCCTCCAGTCCTCTGCCATCACATCAACATGGTCACTTTGGTGTTAACTTTGTAGGTTAAAAGTAATGCTTTATTAATTCTCTTCCTAAAATCATAAGCGTGTAGGCTACTGCCAGCAGAAACTATGGACTGGGAGTAATTGTGGGTTTTGGAAAAGATATTGCAGGAAACTTGGAAATCATGAACTCTTTGATTCCATGCACCAAGAGACTGCTGTTGAGGGAAAGGGGAATAATCTCTATAGTCAGCTGTTAAGTTTATGCTTTCGGAGTCGAACCGGCACAATTAGTCACATTCTTCCTACAGAGGCAGTTGTACCAAAAAAGCACATATGCTATGACAAAACCAGGCTGATCACGGGAGGCAGTGAAACTGTAAGAACTCACTGTTTTCAGGGAGGACTTGTAAATGGATGTAACTCTGAGTTCAGACATAAAATGATGATTTTTTTTTTTTTTTTAAATTTTTAATTTTTCACCTGCGTGGTGGGCATTGTTAGCAGGGAGAAGGCAAAGTACACTGTAATAAGACTCAGTTTCAGCAGCTTTGAATGATTGTCTAAATACTCTCTGTAGGTTTGGGGTGCATATATATGGAAAGTGGTAGTTAAACTCTATACTGTGCTTTCCTGGAGTCACTGGGGTTGCACAAATTCAGCTGAAAGAAGAGTTTGTGTCCTCATTTGTAAGTTCCATCCTGATTCCATATTTCTTGAGATAAATCCCAAAAGAACCACATCCCCTGCTAGTGTATACTATACCCACTACTGTCTATTTTTCCTTCATCACTCCACCAGTGCATGGAGTGACAAGAAGATTCCTGGAGGGTAACAGTTATTCCTCCATGTAACTGTACGAGCACACATCCTCACCCTGCAGTAAACATCATGTAAATGGAAATAGCCAGCCTTTTTTCCGGAGGTGGGATGTGTTGCCATGTGTTTACAGTGGTGTGCATAGTTACCAGAGAGCAGCTGAAGTTTGGTGGCTTATGTGTGTGTCCAGGCTCAAAGAGCGCGATGCCTACCAACAGTGTGTCGTATTGTAGGGAATGAACTATTTGGAGGAACGTCGCCTGGTGCACCGTGACCTCGCTGCCAGGAATGTCCTTGTTAAGACTCCTCAACACGTGAAAATCACGGACTTTGGGCTGGCCAAGCTGCTCGGTGCCGACGAGAAGGAGTATCACGCCGAGGGAGGCAAGGTAAAGCACGTCAGAGAATGAACCGCCGCGCATTCGCTGCGGCTTGTGCTTCCACACAAACCTTAAGCAAAGGGGGAAAAAACAGGGAGTGTGTTTTTCACAGCACTCAGCTGCCATCTCAGCATGCTGCCTTTGAAGCCTGGGCAAGTCCTCTGAAATCAGCCGAGGCAGCGTCAGGCCAGAGGGGCTGCAGTGGGAGCGGAGGTAGCAGAGCAGCGAATGCTTTTGAAATTTCCCACTCAGAATGCCTGGGAAAAAGCAAGATTATTTAAGAAAAAAAAAAAAAAATGGCTGAATTCATCAGTGTAGCCAAGACCAATAAGACTGTGCAGTTTATAAAGAGAAAGGGAATGTTGTATATTTATAGCAGAAGAAAGACCTGTCAGACTTGGTTCAACACGCCTTCGTGTTGTACTACGTGCTGATGGAGGGAATGTGTCCTGCTGAGAAATTAAAGAGAAACTGCTTGCAAATATTGCAGCAGCCATAAATAGAAACCATATGGGTGTAGATCATTCTTTGTCATGTAGCCTAAGATTGGATTTGTGTCCTGTTATGATAGAAGATTTAACAAGTAGTTATTTGACTGCTCAAAATGTTGTAAAACTATTTTGTAAGAGATATTTCTCATATGCCTAATACTCCACAAATTCCCAGGTTCATCATAATATATGAAAATAATAAAAAAAGGACTGAAAAGTTGCCTGCTCTAACGCTCAGATAATTGTGTTGGTTGGTGGTTCTTTTTTTTCCTTCCTTGATTTGCACACCACCTGGTGGTAAATATCACTGGTAAATTTTGGGTCAGTCTCTTAAGGATTCTTGGTGAATTTTTCTAGGTTCCGATTAAATGGATGGCCTTGGAGTCAATTTTACACCGGATTTACACTCATCAAAGTGATGTCTGGAGTTATGGTGAGTTTAAAAGCAGCTACAGTTATTGCAGATGGGCTGGAAAATTGCAGGACTTGCTAGTGACTCTACACTGGCCTTTTTGCATTCTATTGTGAGAAGAACAAGAGATAAATATGTAAACACTGGGCTGAAATCACCTACCCAACAAAGTAAAATTCCCATGAAACTGCACGTTAGTGAGGTGTAAGATGTTTTGCGGAATATGTTTTCAGGAAATGAGCCCTCTCCTGAAAGGGGCTGCAGGTAAGAGACTCTGGTGCATTTGCTGAAGTTCTGCTGATGGTTTTCTTCTCAGCAGCTTTATGTGAAATGTAATGGACCTGATAATAAAGCCACGTAACTAGAAGGAGGACTTAAAAACACTGGCAACACTTTCAATCAGTGTCTAACAGCGTAACTCAGCTGTGGGCTAAAAACCTTGTGCTGTCCTGGTGTTGAGAGGACAATGCTAAAAGGGAAGCAAAATGATAACCTCCTTAGAGAATTTATTTTGTGTTTGGTGTAATTCATAAGCTACCATGAAAAAAAGGAAACTTTTCAAAGCAATCCATTGCAAAATTTTCCCCCCATGAGCTCTTATATTCCTGGAAAATATTTAATGCAGATGGTCAGATCCTGTGTCCTTTTCAAAAAAATACAGCCTCTGGTCCTCTTATTCCATTTATGTATCTTGGCATCCAAAATCTTGTTTTGTATCCTAAGCTACTAGACAATCACAACAGCTACATCACAAGAGTCCATGGTATGTCAGCAAATGACGCTGAGGCAGCTGTTTGCACATCTTTCACAAACTGCTTTTGCTCATCTCCAAAGAGATTGTTTTCAAACAAAAAGACAACTTCCATTTTTAAAAGCCACTTGCTTGGTTGGAATCAGTAACCTTTATTTCCTTTCTGTGGGGCTGGGAAGCTTGTGGAATGTTCAACACTAAGATATTAGCTGAGATTAAAAAAAGAAAAAAAAAAAAAAAGGAGGCAGGGGAAGCAAATCCTTAAAGGAAAGCAGGATGATTTCAAGCCTATTACATTAGTCTCTCTTTAAAATCATGGCAGAAAACGTTTTCTGTGGTTGGGGTTCTGACAACATAGTGCATCCAGGAGAACCCTCTCTGCTTGCCACCTCTCTTCACCGATGCCAAGCAGCCCAGCTCCTGGCAAAGTCGCTGTCATGGTCTTCTCTTCCCACTCTGCAGGTGTGACGGTTTGGGAGCTGATGACATTTGGGTCCAAGCCATATGATGGGATCCCTGCCAGCGAGATCTCCTCTGTCCTGGAGAAGGGCGAGCGTTTGCCCCAGCCCCCAATCTGCACCATCGACGTGTACATGATCATGGTCAAATGTGAGTTCACATTTTGGGTTGTGGGTGCTCATCTGAGTTGAATAAGTAACACAGTTGCCTTTGTTAGGTTGCGTTTGTATATGCTGTGTTCCTGGTAATGGCACAGAAGTAGGGTTGTGTGAAAAGAGTGGTGACACCAGAGTGTGTTCCCGCACCTTGAGCTTTGCTTAGGAGCATGGGTTATGGTTTCATGAGTCGCTAATTCAACCAGCTAATGGTTTCTTTACCATTCACACCACTGACTGATATTGTCAATTATTTTAAACTGATACGGTCAGGCCGTATAAATTAGCATAACACCAAGCACTTTACCTGATACTCTGTTTTTGTATGTCTAGAAAATAAAATGAACATTGCCTTCTCCTCCAGGCTCACCCTTAGCTCAGTCATATGCCTCCTTCTGCAACCACATATGTGGATTATGTCCTTTTACTAAAAGAATGCCAGGAGCACAGGCAGATCACGATGGCAGGTACACATAAGGCTCTAGAGTTCCTCTTGCATTTTTTCCTCATTTTTGGATGGCCCCGTTTTGACTTGCAGCTGTTGCAGCAAAGCAGCTCAAGAGCAGAGGGTCTCTGAAGCATTTTTTGGCCACTTAAGGGCACGTCAAAGGGCTTCTAACCGCCTTTCCATCTATGTCACCTGCTAAAATGTCAGATTATTACCTGGCTTTCCACACGTTTCTGGGCTATAACCGCTGCATCCCTGCTCTCTGCTGTGAGGATGCTGATAAGCAGCCCACTAGGTGGCATTTAAGACCTTCTCACTGGAGCAACATACAGCTGTTCCTGAAATCGGAGCCACGCTACCATGAACACTCCACAGTGCAGCACTTTTTGGGAACCTTGGAGCATCCACATGTCACTGTGTTGGGAAAGGCACCACACAAGGCGAGCCTGATCCCGTGCTCAACAGGGCAAGCAAGAAATGGATGCAGATGTGTGCAGCCTGGGAGGTGCCCAGACCCCAAAACAGTGTCCTAGAAACTCCTCCTCAGAGAGTTTCTGAACCCTACTGACACCTCATCCCACTGCCTTTCCTTAGGGCTAGTCCGGACGTAGAAAGGAGGAATTTTTACGGGTGCCTGTTGCTTTTAAAACACAACCAATAGAGTCGCCCCATCCACTTTCATACTATTGCACTGAATTGAAATGCAGGAGTGTGAGGACCTGGGGCTTGAGCCTTCCTTCTTGCACAAGGCTCAGTTGCACGTCTTTCACTGCTCTGATCACCCTGTGTTTGCAGGCTACAGCGCAGACCCTGTTGAAGCTGTGCCATTTTATTTAAAGGAATACAGGAATCCCAGTCACTTGCTTTGTAGGCAGAAAGTATAAACTGAAATGTTCGAAGTTACTGCACAATGATTACTATTTTTTTAATTTAAGAAACAGCATTTAAATATAGGCAACTCAAAGTGAGAAACAGTAGATGCTACTCCTGCAAGAACAGCAAACTTCCAGATGCTCTACTCTGTCTGAAAGCAAGGAGCATTTCTTCTTGAATTATCAGGGGATATATTTCTAACGTGGTAAAAAGTCACTGAAAATTAGGAGATTTTGTCTAATGCAAATTTCAGATGTCATGTTAGCACTTTGTTTCTCCATTGCTATGGGTAAGGTGTTTCTTCCGAGTTCCTCTAGACACGCTAAGCTTGACTTTTGTTATTTTCAATTTTAAACACAAGAGTCTCCAGATCAGCTTATCTGCAAGTTGATGACAGAAAATGTGGGTTTCCTAACTAATATCACATGTCAACCCAGCAGTATCTGTATTTGAAATTTCTTCTACCATTGATCCACACTAAACTATAGGTCTTGGTTTTTGTTGAAGTCTGTTTACTAATTAAATACAGCTTAGATACAGTTAATTTAAAAAGGTCCTCAGTGAGGATGTTTTGAATTTTAGAAGACATCTGGTACAGACGGAGGCTTCTGCTGTAGGCTTCCCAGGACTCCATGAAGCAGTGCAGGGACTGTCAGATGGTCAAATCATGGTACTTCTGCAGGAACCCACTGATGTTTTTTTGCCTCCACTCCTTCAAGAGCATTTTCAAAGCAGACTTAATTTGGATTATCCCTCAGGTGGGGCTTGCTGCCCACATGGAGATACGCCAGCAGGAGAGGGGATAGGCTCAGCCTGCAACTTTTCCAACATGGGGTTTTCTTAACTCTTCTGTTCTTCCCAAAACTGCCAAGACCTGCATTTTAAATGCTGAAATACACGCCAGTGGCTGGTGAATGAACCTTTCATGGTGGTCCATTAAGAGTGGCTTCTTTCTTTGTTCCACACGTGACTCTGCTCTTTTTGCTGTTCCATTTTATTTTAAACTCTGTGTTTGATCACCTGAACAACTTTATTTGTGCATTGCTTTCCCTCCAGGTTGGATGATCGACGCAGACAGCCGTCCCAAGTTTCGTGAACTGATAGCTGAATTCTCAAAAATGGCTCGTGACCCTCCACGCTATCTCGTTATACAGGTACTAACCACAGTGGTGGGAAGATATCTGATGGGCATTTATTATGACGCCCAAACTTATTAGTAATGCATATGAAAACATATAATACTGATAACTTAGGGCCAGATTTATTGTTAACACATCAGCTAGAACCACAAACAAGTGGCCAAGACTGGTCACTGTTTTCTTAGTACTGGTCCCAGTCTAGGACCAGCAACAGTCCATACGGCAGTCATGAGAGGAAAGCAGAAGTTTGATCCTCTTCAAAATGTATCTGTTTTACAGCAGCGTGGACAGAGATTGCAGACCCAAGTTCCCCTAAACTCTGGGTAAATTTGGTTAAACGCAGAGATCCAGATTTTGCTTCTGGGGCCTCTCGCTAAATTCCTTTGTCTCACAGAGAAGGGGATAACAAGCACTTGAAAGGAGTCTGTAAGTCCTCTCCCATACTGACTGTTTTCGCAGGGAGATGATAGGATGCACCTGCCCAGCCCTACAGACTCCAAGTTTTATCGCACCCTGATGGAGGAGGAGGACATGGAAGATATAGTGGATGCGGATGAGTATCTTGTGCCACACCAGGGCTTTTTCAACAGCCCTTCGACATCCCGCACTCCCCTCCTGAGTTCATTGGTATGAAACTTTTCCACTGTGGAAACATAATAAGCCATTTTTAAGAGTGAACTGCTTCTCACAATGTCTGTATTTTCTTTCTCTGTCTTTTAAGAGCGCTACTAGCAACAACTCTGCTACAACCTGCATTGACAGGAATGGGGTAAGTGGAACGACCTTTAAAAAAGGAGTAACTCCTCCTGTGTGGATCAACTTCTACAAAACAGTTCCTTTACTATTGTTTTCCTCTACTTCATCCTAGCAGGGGCACCCTGTGCGGGAAGACAGTTTTGTCCAGAGGTATAGCTCAGACCCAACAGGCGCTTTCTTGGAGGACAGCATAGATGACAGCTTCCTGCCAGCCCCAGGTGAGTGCCTCTCCTGTGTTTCCATCTCATGGCCACTCATTCACAAGCCTTTTGGTTGTAAGTATAGTCATTGCCCTTCTTTTTTTTTATAGCAAGCAATTCAAATGCTTGCCACCTTTCTTTGCTCAGTAAACAAGAGTGGAAAAGCACACACATATCCTTTTCTTGGACTTTATCTGGCCACTTCTGCCCATTTCTCATTTCAGTTCCCTCACGAGCCAGGTTCCTCATGTTTGCTGTATGTGCCATCTAGCCAGGGAGTTTGCATGTGTGGTTATATGTTTAAAGCTTTCTGTTTGAGAAAATATCCTTTACAAAATGGGTTTCATCCCTTAAATCATTTCAAGAATATAAAGAGTTTTATGGCAGTTCCATTGCTTTCAGAAGTTGATCCACAGAATGCAGTTTCTGGTTTCACATAGACTTACAGCGTAGGCGATCAGGGAGCAAGCCAGCAAGCACTGAGGGGGCTGGGGCTGGGTTACACAGTCATGATGCTTTGTGTCCTTAAAAAATCCCAACTAACCGTTCCAAGAATATGCCATAGCTAAAAAGGGTGAAAGGCCCTGCGAGGAATGGCATTGAAGTGAAATGTGGAGTCTCTGTTACTGCCAGTCCTGTATTTTCTAGTCGTTTTTCTCATCTCCAAACATTTTTTTGTAGAGAAACAGCTTCTGGCAGCTAAGCTCCCAGAGCGCCACTTCAGAACACTATCTGGGACATAGCCACCCACACGTCACTAAAATCAGCAGTAGCTGTCTCACTGTCTCGTGGTCCAAGCCATCTTTCTGCTGGTTTGCAAACAAAATTCTTGAAGGTGAACCTCAGGGCAGAGCATTTGGTGCGTTTGGTGCCACGGAATGGCAGTTCCTGCCTTTGGCTCTTTTCCACTTGGGGAAGTTCAGTGACGTGCCGTGAGCGAAGAGCAAGTGGCAGCTGGGTTGAACCTACATGTCAAGTGACACAAGTGGCTGCATTAGTTTTACGTCTCCCATTTTCATTCCTTCTGAATTTTATTTTCTTTTTATTCCAGAGTATGTAAACCAGTTGGTGCCCAAGAAAACATCTGCCTCTGCAGTCCAGAATCCAATCTACAACAACTTCTCTCTCACAGCAAACTCAAAGGTCCCCACGGACTCCAGCTACCAGAATTCACACAGCACAGCTGTGGACAACCCCGAGTATCTCAACACCAACCAGTCTCCACTGGCAAAGACCGTCTTTGAGAGTTCTCCTTATTGGATCCAGGCGGGCAACCACCAAATAAATCTGGACAATCCTGACTACCAGCAGGACTTCTTACCGAAGGAAACCAAACCTAACGGTCTCTTGAAAGTTCCTGCAGCAGAAAACCCAGAGTACTTGAGGGTGGCAGCACCAAAAAGTGACTACATTGAAGCCTCAGCATGACCATGGAGAATTTCTTCTTGCAGCAAGGCAAGCGAGACTCTTAAGTGAACTACCTGGCTGCTGCAAGAATGGACTCTGGCTCAGAGCAGATGGCAACTGCAATGCATCGATAAGCACACCTCTCCTTTTCAGCGTGGGGGCTGAAACTGCAAATCCTATCTGATGGTAGTGTGGGTCTTTTCTTGCCCATTTCCATGTCATAACTGAGGCCCACAGCCTTTATACACACGTGTGTTGGGATGGAGCAGTATCTTCCTGGACTAAAGAAAAATGGATGCATTTCTTTCATTTTCAAATGGTAGCACGGTAAAAAGCCACTCTGGGATGAACTTGAGAGCTGTACACATTGTACAGCCAAATTCCTTTCTACAGTCTGTATTTTTATAAATGTTTCTAACGGAACTTTCGGATCTTTTACAAAATCAGAGGCTTGTACTGCTGTTCTGCTATGTGGTGCTCGGATCACCAGCAAAAAAAAAAAAAAAAAAAATTACCAATAGTTTTCCGAAACTCCTGGAACAGAAACTGTTATTCCAAACCACCAAATTTTTACAAATTGGCTCCATATACTGCCTTTTGGCCCAAAGGTGAGAAGTGCATCTAAGGGAGAAGTGAGCAATTCTTGCCAGGGCAATATGGATTGGATTGCTCCAGAGGAAATTAGCACAAGGAGCAAAGTGGCACAGTGCGTCACCTGCTGACCACTACTGCTAAGAACTGACAGAAGGAACTCACCTCAAGTCATCTATACGTGATTCTAAAGTGCTCACTAGTCTGTTTTCTGATGGTCAAACCCAAGACTTTTTTTTTTTCTGATCCCTTATGCAGCTGTCGAGTTGTCAAAACGCCTTTCTTCTTCAACAAAACTGTTAAAGATGTTGCCGTAACCGAAAAATGAAGTGTCAAATAATGTGTAACAGACCTTCATTAAATGTCAAGGAAATGCAAATGGTGGCAAATTGGAACATTCACGAGACAGACGGGAAGAACTATACTAAATTAAACTTGGCTAGGACAAGAAACACAGGTAGCTCTAGCCAAGCAGTTTTATTTCCCTTCTTAAAGAGCAGAAATCATTTTCCCTTATACATGTGGCAAAGAAAAGGCATATATAAGTGTTAAATTTCAAGGCAGAATACTGCCAGTTGCTGTTCCACACCGGGACAGATGCTGGGCCTGGTTACATGCCCCTTTGAGGTCACATGTCCTGGCAATGCAGGAGGAGCAGTGAGAATGAATTAAGGAATAAATAATCCAGAGCGATGAAAAATATTATCTCCCTCTTCTAAAACACAGGGCTGCCTACTACTTCTTTAAAATACACACCATCATCTTCTGATTATCAGTGTGGTATAGGCAGGCGAGGCAAAACTAAGATTTTAGCCTGACAGTGTAGATCAATCACAGCAGCAAAAGCAACTACTCTTTCCAGTGAACCATAAAATTATTCCATCATTAACATTTCTTATGAGTGTAGGAGGAGTAAAGTGCCTAAAGTGTGAATTTAGTCAGTCATTTAGATGCATCCCACCAGCAACTTGGCAGTGCTATTTTAATCAAACCACTAGATCAGAAAGCAAATGCTCATTTTGGGACAAAGGCCCTTAACCAGTTGAATGTTGGCAACTTGCTTGAGGGTAGCACAAGCAGCTGACTTGCAGAGGATCTGTAGTCTATATTAAGTAGCAAGAAAGAGTCAAATTTATGCCACTGCTGTGCTTTGAATACATCAGTACGTGTTTCAGTTCAAGGATTGCATCTGAAGTCTAAGATCAAGCAGCAAATCCTTAGAACACTGTTTTTGCAGATTTATTGAGGGAAGGAGAAGAACAGCCATGTGGAATGACCCTTTTTGTAAGTTACATGGTGTAAAATGCATTAAGAGCTTGTGTGTGCACAGTGGCTCATGGGCCACACTGCAGTCTAGCATCACAAAGCAGCAATACTGATCTCTTGTCTGTGGTGACCAGGGACAGGACCCGAGGGAATGGCCTGAAGTTGTGTCGCAGGAGATTTAGGTTGGATATTAGGAAAAGGTTCTTCACCCAGAGGGTAGTTGGGCACTAGAACAGGCTCCCCAGGGAAGTGGTCACAGCACCAAGCCTGACAGAGTTCAAGAGGTGCTTGGCTGATACTCTCGGGCACATGGTGTGACTCTTGGGGATGGTCCTGTGCAGGACCTGAAGTTGGACTCGATGATCCTTATGGGTCTCTTCTGACTCAGCATATTTTGTGATTCTGTGATACCGGTCAGAATCCAAAGACGGTTCTCTTTGGTAGGTGTGTCTCACTATGACCAAGCCCCAGGCATAGCGGTACGGAGGATGCAATGTTTGACTTTGATTATTAGTGGCTTGTATTTAAAACGTGCACCAAAATTCAGTTCCCATGTCCAATTAGCAGCAGATTTCTCCTTGCGTTCCTGAGAGCAGATTTGTTGTGTTGCTCTCACAAGCGTGCAACAAGTATGCACAGGCATTGCTGCTGTTCTCCACCCACTGCCTTGGGAGAAATGTACATAAAACTAAAAAAAAAGATCTTAACAGAATTCACAGATAATTTTTCAATTTGCTAAAGCTGCTATGTCTCCAAGCAGAACACTAGAAAATCGCGCAGTGCTTGTTCTCCCACAGAATCTTCTGAACACTATTGCACAAAGGAATTTACTGATGTTCTGTTTTAATCTGTGAGCTAAAACAAGAAAGCCACTGAGCAGTATCAGTATGTATCACCAGCATTATGTAGCATGAAAATTATTTAGTATAGGTTAACATGTTTGCCTTTTTAAAACAATTTAGGAGGGATTCAGTAGCAATTCATTGCTAGAAACAAGGAGATTCATCTAAAAATTAAGCAATGTAAATTTGAAAGAGCATCACATTTTGAATGTGATGTTTTTGTTGAAAAAAGTAGGAAAGAAGATGTAGAACCACAAACTCTCAGTACGGATGTAAATTCCAGATTGATGGGATGAGCTAGATTGTGAAGTATTTCTGGTAAATAGGCATCCTGTAAGCCATGATTTGCAAATTGGCAGGTCAGTAATGATTCGAAAGCCAGCAAAAAATAAAAACTGGATAGTGCCTGCAGGGGCAGATGAGAAAAAAAAAAAAAAAAAAAAAAAGGGAAAAAAAACCACAATAAGCAGCTGAAATGTCCTGTTTTTCCCACTGCAGCTCATTGCACATTTAACAGCAAGGAGGCCCCTGCGGATCATAGGTGCTTATACAGGCAAACATGGTTAGGCAGCATAAATCAACATCCAAAAATAACTTGAAAGTTCAGCTGGAGGTGTGGGTAGAAAAGGCTGGTTTTAAAAACACAGCTAAATAGGGAAATGTAACATGCCACAGCCACTTTTAAAAGCTAACAGTCTTACTAATAGAGAAAATTAAAATTTCCCTTTTTACTGAATTTTTTATGGAAGGCAAAATAAAATACAAGTCAGTCCTTAGTGTCTGTCATAAAACAGCAGTTAATACAGAACTCCTTTTGCAATAATAATTTAGGACTTTTAACAACTGCTCAGTATATGAAAATGTGAGTTAAATCAAGAGTCTTCATCTTACTTTGATGTTTTCTAGTGATTGTGTACAGCGCACTTGACTTCATTTTGGGCCCTGGGTTGTTCCTGCTGCAAAGGGAGTTGGCCTGGGAAATTTTCTTCATGTTGCAATTGATTTTTGTCAAGGGCCTGCTCATTTTTCCAGCCGGCAGGCAACACCGCAGTGAGTTTTCTAGAGAGAGATTTGGAACGAGCTGGTGGTTTCTGGAATGCGTTGGGATGATGCCCCGTCCCACCAACCTCACCATCCGATGGCCACATGAAGCCCTGGCATTAGAAAATGCGGTCTCAATGGTTTATTTGAAAAGAAGGGTCTTGTGTAGGGAGAGCAATGCCAGGGAAAGGCTGCATCTGGCCCATCCATATCCAAGACAGCTGCTGAATTCGCCCAGGGCCACTGAGACCACTGACTGTTTCTGCAGGTATATGTAGCACCTGTCCCTGCTACCAGCTAGATGTGAAGCCCCCTTGCAGAGATTGCTTGTGCAAAAAACAGTGCACGTGGCATTCATACAATGGGATGTATCTCTTCCCTGGGAGATGCAGTTAGGTTTACAACAACGTCACAGGACCTCAAACAGCTTTGAAAAGGTCCCTTCACAAGGTTCCTGAGGTGTCCTTGGTCTGTCCGTGGATGCTCCAATGTGCCAAAGAGAAACTTTGCATTTCCAGGCAAGAGCTCATTTTTCTGCATTCAGAGCTCAACATCTCTTAGTATGACCACTGCCTCTCAGCTGAGCAGTTATGGTACACTGGCTTTTGTTCCCCCAACATTTCTCCATGAGAAAACATCTGAATCAGGACCAAATATGAAAATGTACCTGTGTCCTCCTTCTTGATGGAAACTGTATGTTCATGAAATGTCAAACTCTGTGTAGAACTCTTAGCAAGAATGCTTTGTAATGTTTTATCACCACTAGTTTGAATTTTTATATTGGGATCCCTTTTTCTAGCTTTCTTTTTGTAAGCGCTCCCTCTGCGTTCTGACGTGCAGCTTTCAAGGAGCCTTTTTAAAATAACAAGGAAAATAACAGAAAAAAAAAATTTATACGAAAGAAAAACCATGACACCTTCAAGTAGCTTATCAAATGGGCTGCATTAGGACCAAAGATGTTATGTCTTGTTTTCTTGCTTTAAAGGAATAGGGTATTGATCACTACTTCCACTGCCTCTCATTACAGAGAAGAGCTACAGATCTCCACTCTTCACTGGGGCTGGATCAGACCTCTGCTGAGCCAAGAGAGCTTGGCAGGAGGGTGAGGCCTGCCCATAGAAAACCAAACTGAATATCAGGACTAGGTATCACTTCAGGGCCAAACCTGCAACCTCTACTCCATATTGCAATATCTAAACAGGGATGTAGTCAAGGAAAAAAAGAAGCGAATACATGATGTTTTGGCTTAGTATCAGGAAAAAATACAAAAATATGAAGATGAGACGTGATGGGTTTTTCTGTGAGGAAGTGTGTAGGCAGGCAGTGAGACTTTAAAATTATAACACTTTTGGTAATGTATTACTTTAATTATGCAGGGCAGTTGAAATCATGGGACTCCCATGACATGCTTTGCTTTCTGCCATACACCCTGTGTCGAGTGTTTATGCAGATCACCTGTATAACCATGGCCATGTGGACTGAGAACTGTGGGTTGGTTCAACCCCTTCTTTTTATGCAGGGAGATAAAAGTGCAGTTACAGTAGGCTGTTCCAGGGTTAGTGGTCAAGCTAACCCTCAAGAGCATCCAACGCCGGGTTTCCCAGGGAAAAAAGTTGGTAGCTGCAGACCTACCTGACAGAAGATGCACCGGTGCTGGCAACAGGTGGTTGGCAGCAAGCAAAACGTGTTTGGCCAAAATTCAGGGCTAGTGCTTCACCAGCTTTGCTGTCATGGTCTTACATGATACAGATGGAGCTGTCTGGATGTACAACAGCACAGGGCCTATGGTCCCTCTGTAGCTCTCACTTTGAAGTAATGGATTTTTCTGATTGATTAAGTGAAAACCGGAAATCAAAAATGCCGCTAACAATTGGACTGGTAGAAGGTGTTGTTCCTACACAGCAAATACAATACATCCTTTCCAGTCACACTGGAATTTATCCAGACTCTTCTCCTTACCTCTCACAAGCTAGCTGGAGAGTGTGCATTTGCTACCACCATCAATGTTATCCTCATATTTTATGAAAGGGAATAATCAAATCAGTTGTCTGCAATGATAGGAGGCTTGGCTCACATACCTAGGTTGCTTTCTTAATCCTACATTCCTTATATTGTTCCCCTCGAAATTAATGGGATGTTTAAATTGATTACACTGAGAGTATAAAACAAGGCTGATGTTGAGTGATTTTTGAAAATCCCTCACAATAATCAGAGATCCTATGGATCCATTGCCCGTTTTAGGCTGCTTTTTACTGATGCAATCAACTGACTATAAGGTATGATGTCTTGGTTTTAATGAACTGTCAAGCAATATATTCATAGATACAGACGGTACCCTCGCAGCATTGTAAAGTTACTCAGCTATGAAAGCACTATTTGTACAATAAGAAACTCTTGACTTTTATATGGTTTAATGGTTTATACTGTTGATCAAAGATTGTTTGTATATGACGATGAAAAATGAGGTGTATATTATTCTTTTTAATTGTTTTTAATTTTTGGAAAACTGTTATTGTAATATACTGTTGTATTTGGGGGGAACAAAAAAGCAGTGGCTAGCTAATAGCTTGTAGCCAGAGAAGAACTCACATTAAGAGTTCTTTATCGGACTTATATTTTTTTTTTTTTTTCTGGTAAAATTTGTCACCTTGGGGATTTATCCAGAGCTTAGTGAAGCTAGCAACAGCACTCTTTCCTCTCTCCAAGACTCTTTGGCTATCTGTATGCACAGTGCTGGAGTTTCATAATGTGAGCAATAATACAGGTAACACTCGTGACCATTGGAAGTGCAATATGAAAGCCCAGGTGCTGCTTATCAGGGCCCTAAAAATGCTGCTCTTTCAAATTACATGGCAGGTTCTCACTTCACTTTCATGACAAGAGCAGAAGCAGAGTGAAAGCAATCCCTCAAAAGCTCATTCATGTGACATGTGGTGTGTGAAGCCACAGTGCTGGCCATTTCTTAATTGCATAGCTGAGGCAAAATGAAGTCTAAACCAGAGTCACACTGGTGACTTACATTGCTGTACTACACTTGGCAAGAAAGTCTGTTAGCAGTGGCAGTCAAACGAAGCCCTGGTGTCCCCTGTGTATTAGTTTTTAATTATCCAACTGGTTGAACGTGTAGCAGACCAAAATTAAAGGAATTGCAGGGTCCTCAACATACAGTGTATTGGCAAGACAGTAAAGAAGAGAGGAGCTGGAACTATCAGTATACATTCAGCCTGGATAGGTCCCCAGTATCACACTTAGTAAATGAAACAATTTTTGTCTTTAGAGATGAACTTTGTACACAGAAAAAAAAAAAAAAAAGAAAAAAAAAGAAAAAAAGA